TAGCTGATGAACAATGGGAGAGGGAGAAAAGGGGTTGTGAAAAGAAATATGAAAGTCCCTTTTGCGCTTTTGTAGTTGAAGGATATGGAAAGAAAATCGAAAAAAAAAAACCCACCCCTTTCCCATTCATTTCCTCTTCGTTTCCCTCGTCTCATATCTCGGGGGAGGAGAATATACCAGTTGGATATGATGATCCACCCCTACGTCTCATTCCAACCCATCGTTGATTTTGGTTCATTCAAGCACAAGCACATAGCAGTGGGTAGGAAGGTAAGTAGGTGGGTAGCAGTAAGTAAGTTGATAGGTATCGGTATCAAAACAAGAAGCCAAATGAGAGGTATAAGTGACAAACGAGGCAAGATATTATGGTGAAAGACAAGATGAAAATGAAACGGAATGGAACGACAACCAGATATAGATATAAACGATAAGAAATGTAAAGAGGAGGGGAAACCGAAGCATACACCAAGTATCAAAAACAGGAATAATTTAGGAAAAGGTGAAGAAAAGTAGAGTAGAGCGGAGGGAAGGAAAGGAAAGGACATTATCCAGGAAAACGAAACGACACAACAATTGGGGGGGGATAGCATTAATAGTGAAAGCAGTAAAGAGAGGTATTCAGCTCATACACCACATCAACGGCGGTAGCAGGGATTGTAGAGTGGAATTACATTCTCTCTCCTGTACCTGCCTCAACACCATCAAGGTATGGTGTGTTAGGATCAAAGTTAAATGCAGACTGGTCGTCTGTGTTGAGGAAAGTGTCGAAGTCGAAATTCTCGAGAATGTCTGGGTTGTCGAGTGAGCTGAAATCTAGGTTAAAGCTTTGGCTCTACACACCGATTGTTAGTTAAATCCCTAGCCATACAAGACGAAAGAATAGGATACATACGTCTGTTAAACTCATATCCCCGAATGGCTGCGAAGGATCTACTTGTCCCTGTGCTTGACCTGGCTGTGTGGGGGCAGGTGGCTGGCCCTGGGTTGGCTGCATGGACAGCATTTGCTGCTGCTGTTGTTGCTGCTGTGGTGCCTGTGGCGGCGGCGGCGGCTGACCGACAGCTTGTGCCTGTGTGGCTGGTGCAGATGTTGGCTGAGCATTGTTTGTAGGAGCAGTCTTGTTGAACGAATTCGGATGGACCGGGGTGATAGGAGTAGAAGGAGTTGGAGTTGGCGGAGGTTCAGACTCCGAGGCCGCCGCAGCCGTTGTTGGCGCGTTGGTGGTTGGAACACGCTTAGGAGGGCGCTATGATAGGTAAGTATTAGGTTTGGATATAAGTATGAGAATTTGTAGGCATACCTTTCGATTATTATCTTTTGTATCCTTTTTCTTTGGTGCAGGCTTTGCACTCTGTTGGGGTGTTGGAGGGGCCGCGCTACCAGGCTGGGGTGACTGTCGTCCATTATTTGGAGCTGTAGCCACAGGAGGAGCTTGTGGTGGAGGCATTGCGTTGCGTTCTTGAGGAGTCCCAACGGGCTGTCCTTGCTGCTGATGCTGAGGCTGCTGTTGTTGCGGCTGCGGCTGTTGTTGTTGCTGTTGTTGCTGCTGCTGTGGTGGGATCATTGGTTGACCTTGAGGAGGCTGTTGTTGTTGCCAGTTGCCACTTGGCATACGAGCGCCAGCTTGAGCCTGGGCTTGAGCTTGAGCCTGAGCTTGGGCTTGAGCCTGAGCCTGGGCCTGTGCTGGCGTGCCATAGCATCCATGGGCTGCGTCATTTGTGCTCCGGAGTAGGCAGGATTAGAACTAGGTGGGCGCATGCCGTTAGGTCCGACGACACCACCAGCTTCCTGCATGTTCTTCATGGTACTGAAGAACGCGGCGCCGCCCATGTCCTGAGGTATTTGATTGCCGAAGTTCATAGAGGCCGGTGACCCACGGCCTTGCTGCATAGCATCACCTACGTTAGGAGAGCCAGGAAGACCGGTCTGGGGCATCTTAGGGGTGCCGCGCTTCATCTGCTCGCTGGGGTTAGGCGAAGCGCCGGCACGGCTGCCCTGTGGAGATGTGCCAGGTGGGAGGCTACCGTGCATTCCCTGGGTTGGTTGTTGTTGTTGTTGCCCAGCACCTGGTTGTGGCGGTTGGCCGTCACGAGCCATGCTGTCCTGCTCCTGGCGGGCGATTAAGAGGCGTTTCTTATTCTGCTGTTCAAGCAGCATGAGCTGCATCTGGTAGTCTTGTAGAGCATGGTTCCCGTTCTGCGCTCCAGGGGTGGGCATTCCTCCTTGACGCATCTGGGCGGCCATCTGGCCATTGCCGTAGTATTCTTGTGGTATCATTCCTTGGCTGTCGTGCATGGGCTGCATCATGTCTGGCTGGTTGGGCATGACACCAGGGTTGATTAGCCCATTAGGAATGCCCTGGTTATTCATGGCAGAGCGGGTGTGGTGGATCAGATTTTGATTATAAACCTGGATAGATTTTGCCTGGACAGCTGGGTTCTGGGCCTGGAAGGACTGGAGCTGCGCAGCAGTGAGGTTTCGTGGGTTGATGCCATGTTGCATGAGAAGGGAGTTGGCCTGTTGTTGGTTCTGCTGGCCGGGCATACCTTGTGGTTGGGTGCGGCCGTTGGGGGTCATTTGCGCGCCATTAACTTGGGGGCCGTCGATGCGCTGGCGCTTAGACGGAGATGGGGCATTTTCTACGGAAGAGGGGGACTGGGGGCGATGACCATTCATTTCCATGTCAGAATGTTCGCGTTGCATTTGGTGGTGCATCATTTGAGCCTGTTGGTTACGTAGTTGGGCGATTTGTTGTGGAGTCCTATTAGGGTTAGTTTTGGTACTTCACTCCCTCTGGTTTGTAATTGTATAGACATACATATTCTGCGGATTCTGGAGAACAGATTTCTGGAGGTTTGCTGGCACCATATTACCACGTACTCCGCGCATGGGAGCGAACTGGTTAGGGAGGAGCTGGCCCTGGCGAATGAGTTGGTTTTGCTGCTGATCTCGCAATCGCAGCACGTTCTAAAAAAAAAAAAAAAAGGGAAGAAACAAGCCCCGATTAGCCCATCCTATTCTGATGACAAGAGGGCAGTCGAGGGGTACTCACTTGGGTATGTTGCAAATACTGCATGGCATCATTACTCCTTGGTTTTTTCCTCTGAGCGGAGAAGACGTCCCAGAAGATATTGAACCAATCGAATAAGAAACTAGTCTGTTGCGAATCGCCCAAGTTGGGTCTTGGCAAATCTTCAGGAATGCGCGACTTGATGTCCTCTTTACCTTCTTCAGAGTCGACTCCGTTGACTTCCCCGTCTCTGCGATGTGGTGTACCCTTGTGAGGCGCAGTAGTAGTGTTTAGGGTGACGCTCTCGTCGTGCACGAGCGCACGCGCACACTCATGATACCCGCGTTTGAGGAAGTAATCGTAAATGTAGGTGTTGAGTTGGGTGGCCATAGTATCTTGTAGGTTCTGGTTTGGTTCACTTCGCGGGGCGGAACCCGATGCGCTGTTCATCATGGGAATTCCACCTATGGGCATGCCGCCGCCAGGAACGCCAACGCCCGGAACGCCGACGGGAACGACGTTACCAGGCATAGCGACACCGGGGTTCATGCCTTGCATGTTCATCTGGTTCATTGCGAGCGGGAGGCGAAGGTGCAGCCGTCCCAAGACGATCGGACCTGCTCACCGGGAAAGAAATGACTGTTTCCAAAGCGCTCTGTCGAACTTGAGAGAGAGATCAGGAATGTACAAGACGGACTCCGTCTTTGCGTCAGAAGGGTCTTTTCGCCGGGATCGTTTCTCATATATGGGTTATCCAACAGGTTAAACAGGGAACAGCCTTTTCTGCGGTGTGTGGTTTTGTTATTTTGCGAACGAGAGGCCGCTAGTCCTCAGACAGTTTCTTTTCAAGCGCGTTAGTTTTGAGTGCCAGAGCAGGACCACCAGAGAGGACAAAAAAAAAACACAGAGGGAGAGATAAGAGACAGACTCACCTCGACAGTGGCAACAAGCAAGTGATCTCTTGAGAGAGAATTGGATCCTCGCGGTGTGAGAAGCGTAGAATGAAAGGATGGTTGTTTAATGGGGGAGTGAGGAAAGGCCTTTCTCGTCGGGCGCCAGAGTGGCTCCTGGGCGATCGCTGGTCGTTCGGCTGGGCTGGGGGGGCCGGAGGGCGGAGAGAGGCGACGAAAGGGGATTTTCAGGCACGCCGCTCCACGAAGCCTTTTACACGAAGTCCGGCAGCGGTTCCGTCAGTATCTATCGTTGGGGGCCGCCGTGTCGTGATGCTGGATTATCGTAGTAAAGGAAGGGGGAAAAACGATATGCGTCTCGTCGGTGAAGTTCGTTTTTTCGCTGGGGAAAGTTGAACTTGCGTCTTTCGCGGGCAGTGGCTGCTTAGGGACCGGCAGAACGCGCGCACGACGCAGTTTTGGTCACGGGATGAACTTTTATCCGGTCACCTGACTTGAGGCGAGATCGAGGATGAAGACGAAGAGGAAGAGGACGACGGAGGGTTGTCGGAGGGGCCAAGATAAAATTTGCCGGCAGTCATGGCCAAAATACAGAGAGTAGACAGTAGATACATAACCAACTCCAGCCCGGTAGTAGCACGTCAGACCAAGAAGAGAGAACCAGAACGACCAACACGACCAACATGAAAAAATACAATGACAAGAGAATTCACTCCTCCGGGGGCAGCTCATCTTCAAGATAACGGACAAGAGTGACTCGCATCTCCGTCGAGTCATTTCCTCGTAAGACATCGCTGACAAAGTGTGCCTCGACCTGAACTTGTACCTAAAACCATGTTAACAGAGTCTATAAGGCCATATGTTGGCAGGGTAGAAATGCATACCATCTCCAGTGCTCCCCTTAGTACTCCACAGAGAATGTTGGAGTACCACAGCTCGTCCTGAGCCCGACCGTCATCTGGTAACTCAACAAAGTCTGCCAGTGGGTTCTCTTCAAAGACTAGCGAGAACTGCTTATTATCACTCGTCCAGTTCGTCACCGTGGGCGTGATGTTGAGAAACACCTTGAATCCGACCTACACTCGGGTATAACAAGTATCAGATGGCTATAATGCTGAACATAATTTATCGTATTATATTATGCAGATATAGACAGTGGACAATGCAGGTATAGACACACCTTTGATATAACGTCTGCCGTCTCACGGAAGTTTGTGCACCGCCCCATCCCGGACCGAGCGAGAAAGTCTTCTATCAGCCGCATGCCAATATTATAACCCATTTTATCTAGCTGCCGGTTGACCTCCAGATAGTCACTCTCGTAGTCTGTGCAGAGCTGGGCTACCACCGTTCCGTATGTCAGCGTCACCAGCTCCGCGTTGACCTTATCAACCTTTGTTCTACCCGGGTTAGAATGGAACTGAAGCTGCTAAATAGTTGCGGGGAGTGCGTACTTCCATATCCTAGAGAGAATATTAGCAAAAGATCGAGCAATATACTCAATTCGTTATACGAAGGCGGGGTCTTCTGTATACTCTTCCCCAATCCGAGCTGCTTTGCTCGACATCTCGAGCTAGTAATTAAGCCGATGCGGCCAGGTTCGCCCTTATTATCTCCTCTAGCACCTTTCCGCGAAACCTCAAAGCCTCACTTGTAAAGGATAAATTGTCTTCATAAAGCTGTAAGGTGGTTAAAAAACGGAATCTTGAAGTTATGGGGAACTTCTTGAAGCTCGTGACTGGTCTAAGCGCAGCCGCCGCCGAGCCGCGCTTTTCAAAGTCACTGCGTCTAAAAAATTAATCAAGGATCAAAATAATCAAAAGACGTCGCAGCAAGTAACTTTTTGATAGCAATACTTACCGGTTTGAATTAACGAGACTATATACCACGTACCCATTACTTCCTTACTATTACTTCTGCATCAGTCATGATGTCTGCGGAAAAGAGACCAGCTCACGACTCTCTTGGGTCTGTACAGCTCATCAAACGTCAAAGATCAGATAGCAATCTAAACCGGAGTGCCGTTGCTATATCCAGTAGCACAGGGAAGAATGGGACACTTATCCAGTCTGTATGTAGGCGCCATTAATTTACGTGAAGCGATTCCATTACAGCTCTAACCAGATGATCAGGTACCCCGAACGAGCGGCCTTGCTGCCCCTATAATGGAACTCACAGGCCATTCAGGTGAGGTATTCGCTACCCGATTTGACGCCACTGGGCAGCATATAGCTTCTGCTGGTATGGACCGATCAATATGTATGTTGCTTTTTTCTCTTCCTTCGTCCATGTTTCTTGAAGGAGCAGAATTTTGGCCACTGACCCCTCAATTGTTGAAGTACTCTGGAAAACATACGGCAATTGCGATAACTACGGCATCCTTACCGGCCATAAAGGCGCTGTTCTCGATGTTCAGTGGTCACGCGATTCACAAACCCTTTTTTCGGCCTCTGCAGATATGACTCTCGCAAGCTGGGACCTAGCATCAGGCACGCGCATACGACGATACATAGGTCACACAGAAATCATTAACTGTCTAGATATAAGCCGGCGTGGTCAGGAGCTACTGATTAGTGGTAGCGATGATGGAAGTATAGGCATCTGGGACCCGCGCCAAAAGACAGCCATTGATTATCTAGAATCCTCCTCCTCCATGCCTGTGACTGCTGTTGCCCTCTCCGAAGCCGGAAATGAGATCTATGCCGGTGGTATCGAAAACGATATTCATGTTTGGGATATTCGAAAGCGCGCCATCACATATTCCATGATTGGGCATACGGATACAATCTCATCGTTACAAATCTCACCAGACTCTCAGACGCTTCTATCCAACTCCCACGACTCAACGGCGCGTACATGGGACATACGCCCTTTTGCGCCCGCAGATCGTCACATTCGGACCTTTGACGGAGCTCCCACAGGCCTCGAAAAGAATCTAATTCGCGCCAGCTGGGATGCGAAGGGGGAGATGATCGCTGCAGGCAGTGGAGACAGAAGTGTTGTTGTATGGGATGTCAAGACCGGGAAGTTGTTATACAAACTCCCAGGGCACAAGGGGACCGTGAACGACGTGCGGTTTACGCCGGCCGATGAACCCATCAGTAAGTTGTTTGTTAAGAGGTTACTCTAAATAACGTCCGCTAACTTCATGGTCATAGTTGTATCTGGTTCATCCGACCGAACGGTTATGCTAGGGGAGCTTGGAAAATGATACCCTCTATATGCCACAAGTTGATATCTACCTACAATCTCTAAAGAGCCCATGCTTCTGGGCGTGATATTGGACTGTTCAATATTCCCCTGCACACTCCTTTCATCCATATCATACCATATCTATGAACGAGCTATTAGCTACTCAACCATTGTATCGACTGGAGTGGCCGTGAACTAAATTATCCAAGTCGCAGCTTGTGCTGTACCTCAATAACATCAATACTCACCACCCTAGCCTGCTTCGGGGCTCGAGCTCCCATGTATTATCTGTGTGCCTAGTCAAAAACACTGAGGATCAAATGGCAAATATCTTTGCCAATGGGATTAATGCCAACTCAGATATACGTTGGAATATCTGACACCGTTGGGCTATTCCAACAATATTGTATTCTTTATTATATGTCAGAACACAGTGGCTTGTTGTACCCCCTTCTAAGCTCTCCGCATAAGATAAAAGGGTGGTTCCAAGTTGAAGCAATAAACATAACTCGCTATCCGTAGCATTAAAGTAGTTGGATTTAGATAACATATATTGGGGCCTTACTTTTGACGATTCCGGGCTTATTTATACTACGTATCAAATGCCTTGTCGATAATATTTGAAAAACTTTGCTTTATTTCATCTTCCATTAAGATGCCTGGTCTTTTGCCGACTACGACCTGAAGCACTTCTCCATCGATAATCCAAGGCGGCAGAGTAGGAAATCTCTTCGTGGAGATGTTTAGATAATGCCAAGACTAAGATATAATCACATGATATATTAATAATCATCCCTGCCAAGCATCGCGGCCAACCCGAAACCTTAGCGCCGTCTCATCTCCAACCCCCAACCACGACATCTTCTACTTTATGCTTCATCATCTCTCCTGCATCACAGCCTCAGTGGCCAACAGGCGTCCATTGCACGTCTTGCCATGCACTCAGCTTGGGGAAGGTTGTGGCATAGGCTTTCTATTCCATGTTTGCCTCCTTAAGTCGCTGAGGCGGGTTTCGGTTTCTTGACATGACAGGCTGTGTTTCTTGGATGGACATTTTGCTTTTCTTGTTTTTGTCACCAAAGGCAATTCTGGTTTGGCAGGGTAGTTTAATGCCCTGATCTGTAAAATATATATCTTCCGGAGATATATCTTTTTTTTTTTTTTTTTTTTTTTTCCTGTCTTTCCAAGTACTCTTGATGAGTGCTAGGCTTGGTTTTTCACCAGGACATCTTGAGGATGCCATTTCGTTCGTTTTAGATTGATAAGAGGCGCAATCTACTCAAACAGAACCCCTTTGAAACTTGGAATTAGTGCATGTCCTAGCCAGTTACTTCTTTGTTGGCAGTCGCTGCAGACGATATACCCAGCATCATCCCTTCTTTTTACCCTCTGCGTTTTTAGCGCACTGAGTGCTGGCTATGCACATTCTAGAACCCGTTGTATTATGCCAATAACTAATTTCCCTACACGCGCGTTTAGTCGTGGTGCTTACTTTCGTTCTAACGGGAATTTACCACTACCGGGGACGCGGCAGGACAGCAACAAACAACAATAACGCAAACAACACAATTCTTCGGGACACCTGGATATACAAGCCATGGCATCCGAAACCGGCATTATCGATGTACCAACCATGGCGGAGAGAGTGCAAAAAATACGCTCTCGCCTTTCCGCTCTTTTTTCTGGGGCTTCTTCGGTTGGCTCCTGCAGCATAGACAACCCCCAGAAGCTACAGTTCCCCCCAGCGGGGGCACGCATATTCGCACCTCGGCCAGGCGGAAACGTACACGGTGAGCGAAATATTCCTCCAGGAAGGAGATCTATATCATCGACTGGTTCCGTGATAGATCGCACCGCGTCACCTAATAATAACATACCGCCATTCCCATATTCGGAGACTGTTGATAGAATATCTCATCCAGGGCCACAACAGAGAGGCGGGGGTCAGGTCAATAAAGGAGTCTTCTATATCAACTGGATCCGGCGAACAAAACATAAATCAAACCAGCGTACCATTATGGGGCAGATTCTCTGCCTAGGACCGCGAACAAATGCCAGATCCACAAAAAGAAAACTTATAGACTGTGGCATCTCGGGAATCCTTTTAGCTAGTGTGCTGACTACATGTTTGTCCCCCTCATTCTTTTCCATGTCTTTCATAAGGTTACTTACTTATAACTAACTTAGATCTTGTCCTTGCCGTCACATCTTCAGGAAAGAAGTTTGAATTCCATGTCATTCTAATTATCGCTATGATGGCTTGCACAATATTTTTCTGTCATTCATTGATTCGCCTGCTCATGACAGCAAAACGTCGCCCAGTCCGCCGTAACCAGCCTATCCGTGCCCCTTGCATGGTCGAGAGATTAAGCCAAATCGACAGACCCATCCCAGTTTTCTTCGCAAGTGATTTAGAAATGGGTCTAGGTACGGGGGCCGACCACGATGAGAGCAAACCTGGCCCCGTTTCCATTCCACCTCCTGCATACGGCTTTTGGAGTGGTAGTGTGGTAAGTCTAGCCGTGTATATAAGTTCTAGATGCACGATATTAACCAAAATATTAGAAAATGGATCCAAATAGGCTTTATTGGCAGAGTGTTAATCCCCATGATCTCATCCACCAGCACTCTCAAAGCATGAATGAAGTCCACCCGTCGACTGCAAATCGGCCTCCGAGCTATATATCGGAACACGAAGTTCAATACGTTGTCAACTCTCTGCTTCAGCCACAGCCAATCCATGATCCAGCAGCTGCTTTAGTTCATCCTGCCGAGAGGGATACAGTAAAACCATAGGGTGTTCTAATATGAACAGGCTAACATCAATGCTCTCTTTCATTAAGTTTCTGATGATATTTTTTACCTGTGTTTGATTAGCGACGGGATTCCAATTCTTGGTCTAAAATATTGCTTTCGATTATGAGTAAACCCTCAACCACGACTTCACGAGCTACCTACCCTTTAAGTACTTTATATTGTTTGATTCAGAAGCTAAATAACACTAGTTTGTTAATATCTGAGTATCACACCATCGTGCCCCCTATAGTTAATACAAGTAAAATTTCTAAAATGATGTTAAAAATAAGCCTTGGCTCTGCTGACATAACTAACTAGAACATCTGTCCACATGCCGAATTTAGTGTCGAGATGACATGCATCGTTAACGAACTAAACAAAAAATAATAACACCAACACACATTGATAAACATAAACCTGGCCCTCCCTTTCCATACAAGTTCTGGTGCCGATTCAATCCCACGGAGACAATCCATCCCCATGACATTGTGGCTATCGTTTCCCTCTTGGTGATGCGCTCGTTATACCGACGCTCCCATATGTCCATCCATATTCCATCAATATGGTTAAGCTACTTGCTCGCCATATCGCTATGGCTCACTTGTATACTGGGCATGCAGGAAAGCCAAATTAAAGAACTTCGGTCGGTTCCCACCCTTTTCCCCTCCACAATAACAAAGCATACAATGTGGTTACACGTCCACTCACATACAGTGGATACAGAAAAGAAACCGAGCATATGTTTTTTCACGGCTTTGAGAACTACATGAAACATGCCTTCCCCGAAGACGAACTGCGACCGGTATCATGTCGGCCATTGACTCGAGATCGAGAAAACCCGGCCCATATAGAACTCAATGACGTGTTAGGGAATTACTCTTTGACACTTGTTGATAGTTTATCTACTCTGGCGATCTTGTCGTACCCAAACTCGACTGATCAGAATGGCCGCAAGGCGTGGAGATATTTCCAAAATGGAGTGAAAGACTTGGTGGAATTATATGGAGATGGATCAGATGGCCCTAGCGGTATAGGGTCCCGGAGCAAGGGATTTGAAGTTGATAGCAAGGTCCAGGTGTTTGAAAGTGTTATCCGAGGTCTAGGTGAGCAAAGGACATATGCTTAGTCTTTTTGATTACAGTTGAGGTAATTACGGATATGGCTGATACCTATCACGTCGTTTGTAGGCGGACTCCTAAGTGCCCACCTATTTGCTGTGGGTGACCTTCCCATACGTGGCTATGAGCCTCCCGTGGAAGAGAGAGAGTTCGCAAAGCTCTGGAATAAACAACCAGGCAGTAAGGGAGGAATTGAATGGGAAAACGGTTTCGTGTATGATGGGCAGCTGCTTAGGCTTGCTATGGACTTGGGAACACGTCTCCTACCAGCTTTTTATACACCAACAGGCATTCCATATCCTCGGGTAAATCTAAGAGATGGGGTTCCATTCCACCCTAACTCCCCATTAAATTCTGGAATATGGGCAGAATACGACATTGATGAAAATTATGACGATGATACCCCTGCTGAGATTACAGAAAACTGCAGCGCTGGCGCTGGAAGTTTGGTTTTGGAATTTACTGTGCTCAGCCGATTGACCGGTGATGGTCGATATGAAGAGTTTGCAAAGAGGGCATTCTGGAGTGTATGGGATAGAAGAAGTGAGCTTGGATTGGTCGGAGCAGGAATTAATGCTGAGACTGGAGAGTGGACTCAGACTTATACAGGAGTAGGCTTCATTTTTTATTTTCAAATTCAAACAATATAAGGATAACTTACTAACTGCATTGATATTTATAGATTGGCGCAGGTATAGACAGTTTTTTTGAATATGCATTGAAATCACATATTCTCCTATCCGAAGGCTATCCCCCTGAGTTCAATGCTTCAGGGCCATTCCATGAATATGATAGCTACTTCTTGCCACTTCCATACCAAGCTCATTCACCAGATAGCTTCCTCAAAGTTTGGGAAGAATCATTCGAAGCGATAAAAAACAATCTATACCGGGGATCCAGCTACCAATACCCTCACTACATACAAGGCGATATAGCCACAGGTGCAACCCGTGCACTTTGGATGGATAGCCTAAGTGCCTACTTTCCTGGACTTCTTACTCTGGCGGGAAATGTCGAAGCGGCCGCCGAGACACACCTTCTTAATACCGCTCTCTGGACTCGCTTCTCTGCCCTTCCTGAGCGCTGGAATGTTGCAACCGGGGATATTGAAGGTGGCCTTGAGTGGTGGGGTGGCCGCCCTGAATTCATTGAGTCTACGTACTACCTTTATAGAGCAACAGAGGACCCTTGGTATCTTTATGTGGGTGAGATGGTGTTGCGTGATGTCAAAAGGCGGTGCTGGACAAAATGTGGCTGGGCTGGCCTTCAGAACGTGAAAAAAGGAGATCAAAGTGATAGGATGGAGAGTTTTTTTCTCGGAGAAACTACCAAATACCTCTATCTTCTATTCGAACCGTCTCACCCCTTAAATCGAATCGATTCGCCCTTTGTTTACAGTACAGAAGGCCATCCACTCGTGCTGCCAGCAAAGCAGGTTTCTCCACCCCGCCTACAACATGAATCGAAGGAACATAGAAACGCATCTACAGGGACGTGTGGACCGCCAGCCGTGCGAAACCCCTTTGGTGTATCTTCTACAGCTGCTCGACCAGATATTTTCCATGCAGCAAGTTTAGCACGTCTGCGTTTGAAGCCACCGAAGACGCAGCCTGAATCTCCTATTGTCGAGTTTTCGGTTGACAGCCCCAGTGTAACTTTCTCTGATTTGGCTTCTCCGTCAAATTATACTTACTTTCCTTGGACTCTTCCTCCTATGCTGGTCCCTGGTGATGCCGTCAGTTCGCCGATGGCTGTGAGACCAACTTTGGACTTGACATTCCCTCCTCTTTCCAGTACGGTTCAAGGACCTCCAAGTTTAGAACGCGTTGAAGGTGGGATTCTAATAAAATCCTTTGGAGGCCTTCGACTGGGCATGATTCAAGATGCACCACTATATTCGGGCAATACCATATCATCCAAAGAGGGGTTTCGTATACAAGTGGTTAGCAATATACCTCTAGGCAAGAACGAGAAGGTTTACGTTTCCCGCGAGACAGCTCGCACACTGAGCCCGACCGATCCTAACTTCACGCAAACCCCTGACGCCATAATGATGGACGTAATCATCGATGTCAAACCAGATATTGTGTATCGAAACAATTCTTCCTCATCCGCGGCGTCTCTCTCTGACCAGGGGACAGTCGTCAGTGGAGGACCCATTCTTGACTCCTCCACACCAAAAGCCGTTGAAGGAGGCAAACCCGAGAGCCACAAGTCAGCTCTCTCTTCCCTTCTGAGTCACGTAACGGCTCTGATACGTGATGAGCTTCAACATCTCCCATCCGTCACGCCACCGATATTCCGCCGCCCAATCGCTCGATTCTCCATACCTGCCATTTCCTCCACCGGGATAGGCTCAGCTCCTGTTCCAGACGATGAGGATGCAACATTTACACCCCCCTCGCCCAATTCCAAACGCACAGCAGCCCGCCTATCTTGGTCGAGCATCTACCTTGCCGGTCACCTATGTGAACACCGCCTTCCGCCCTCTATTCCCCGCACTCACCAAATAATAGTGGTAAAAAGAGGAGGCTGTACTTTTTCCGAAAAACTGAGAAACATACCTTCTTTCCGCCCCTCTCGCTCTTCTTTGCAGCTTGTCATTGTCGTTTCATATCCTCAACCTGGAGATAAACGGCGGAAATTAACGGCGGACGACGAGTCATCCCTCATCCGGCCGTTGCTAGATGAAATGCAGACTGTGGTTGGAGGATTTCCTCGACCTCGCCCGATAAGCATGGTGATGGTTGGGGGCGGGGACAAGACGTACGAATACTTCAGTCATGCTCTGGGTGTAGGAATTCGACGAAGATATGAGATCCAGTCGCAAGGCATACCAATCAGCAATTTAATTGTTGTATAGAGGGTATATTGTATACCCACTAAGCGAAAGCCGAATCGTATTCTTGTTTGTTTCTTTCAAGTTAATAATTTGGTATGTTTAGTGATGCTATTTCACACATTTGGGCTGATTTTGATGTTTGATACCTGAGTGCTTGTCTACAACCGTAAATAGAATGACCCCAAGTTTTAGCCCTTCGAACTGATTGCAGAGATGAAGCAACCAATAGCCCAGCAGCCATGGAACGGCAAAGAGAGTTACACTATTGCGATGGCACAAACATCTCATGTTTGCGGCAGATGTCATGGTCCTTGCGTAGCCTCAGTTTCGTCCCGTCTGTGGTAGGGTAGCGCATTTCCCTCAAACAAACAGGCTATTATTTGCCCTTAGATGGTATAGTTAACGGGTGATGCGCGAATCCGACCCACGCTTCCCCGAGGAAATTATTACTATTACTCTGTACATCGGTTAGATAAGTAACTATGTTGATATTAAAACGGAAGAAGAGAGAACCTTTAACCGGCCCTTGGAAACCTTTTTTCGAGGACTGTCCGACAATTAGGTAATTGATTTGCTTAGAGGGTCTCATCCATCGTTCCCCAGCCTGGTTACTTTGATGTACATAACTACTTTGTAAGGATCTCAATTTCTGGATCGGAGGTTTTGAGGCTTCATTGGCTGGTTGAGCAAATGGGATCGTATTTTTTTTTGGTCTCCTTGCCCAACTTCCTAGTTATCCGTCTTCCGCAACAGTGGCCTGATCCTCCCGTGGTTCTACAGAGACAGGTATGGTGTTAGATAGTTATATCTAAGCACGAAACCGTTCTCCCGTATCAACTGGCTGCGGCTGCTAGTGGTCAATCAAGGAACGAGGCAAAACTCCGTGCCACGCTCCGTCAAAGAGTCTGGGGAGAGAGTACCATTACACGCTTTCAGGGGGCGGCCAGGGTTGACGGGGATTCCATGTGGACGTTGCATCGGAATGAACGCTGTGAGACGGACTAGAACTCAACGACTGGCTCTGGGGTGGTACATGGTGACACACCGTAACGATGGATGGTTTTACTGACAAAGAGGCCTAGACAACCTTCCTTTTCTCTCTATGGATGAAGACGGATGTTGTGTTTGCACGTCCTGGGAAAACGAGAAGCCGGCCATGGCTGACTGAATATCTGCGTGCCGTGGATCTCGACAAAGAAAGGGCGTGGGCGCCATGCCATATCTCCTCTCCTCTCCCTCCCTCTCTCTCTCTCTCTAAAATATACATTTCCTCTTTTTCTTGTTCTTGTTCTTCTCGCTCCCGAAAGAAAAGAGAAAGGGGGGAGTCAAGGTACCCAATATATCCACAGTAAGGACAAGCCGAGAAGGAAGTCTTCCCGTGTATCATCATCGTCGGTCAGCAGCAGCTCCATCTGCCGTAACTAACTGAAAAATAAAAAAGGAAAAATATAAAAAAACGGAGACGGGCCTTTCGATGCGCTCCCGGGATGCGTCCAGGTTGTCGTTTCCCGCTTCACCGACCTTTTGAAGTTGTACCGGCATGAAGTCCGTAGCAGAATGTCAAGTGTTTGGCCGTCTTCTTCCTCTTATCGAACAAAAGAGGACGCGGCGAGTCGACTGCTGTCCTTCTTCCACGTTGGATGCCATCTGGACGAGAATATATCAGAGAGTTACAAGAGAGATACATGGGAAGGATAACCGCAGCTAACTGTATACTTAACTATATACGTAAAATACTTCCGTTAGGGCTGGGCCTTTGGAGGCTTGCAGGGTCAAAAAGACGATCCAGAAGGTTGTTGTATTTATCATCGGGAGTTTTTCTTCTTAGTTGTTAAATAACTAGTTGCAAACTATTTAGAGTCGAGGAGGGTTGAGGTTTTTGCTTCCCCCCCCTTCCCTCATCTTTATTTTCCATCACCGTCATCCCACCACTACCATCTCTCTCTTTCTCTCTCTCTTCAACCTCTCTCTCTCTCTGGCCTCAACATAGAAACACCTGCTCCCATTCATCCCCTCTACTCTCGTTTAGCATGAGCCTTCCCCCCCCCGCCGATAACCAGCAGGCTTATCGCGACAAGTCCAATGCCTCCGCCACCACCCAAGTCGCCGGGGACTCCTCCTCCTCTGCCTCCCGCGCCGCCGAACTCGCCAGTCTTAAGGTGAAACTGCGTTCGTCTCTGCGCCAGTTTCCTGATTTCCCGTCTCCAGGCATCCTGTTTGAGGATATCCTGCCCATTTTCGCCGACCCCGCACTCCATGAGTCGCTCATCAGGGGCCTCGAGTTGCATCTGCTTGAGACTTACGGTGCTGACCAGAAACCCGATGTTATCGTCGGACTAGACGCTCGCGGGTTCCTCTTTGGCCCCTCTTTGGCCTTGAGACTCGGAGCCGCTTTCGTGCCCGTCAGGAAGCAGGGGAAACTGCCTGGACCCGTCATCACCCAGGAGTATCAGAAAGAGTACGGCAGTGACTTCTTCCAGATGCAAAAGGATGCCATCAAGCCGGGCCAAAAGGTTATTGTTGTTGACGATATCATTGCAACGGGTGCGTTCCATCATACGTGAGAAAGCAGAAATACCTGTAAACACCCCCCGTACTAATATATTCTAGGCGGATCCGCATGTGCAGCAGGCTCTCTCGTCCAACAACTCGGAGGCAATCTCCTTGGTTTCGTCTTCATGCTCGAGCTAGACTTCCTCAAGGGTCGTGACAAGCTCCCTGCCCCCGTCTATACCCTTCTCGCTACCCAGGAAAGCAACTAAAAAAGATACACGCACCTAACCCAACCGTGTCCGACTGTCGATTATAGAAGGGATAATTCCACAGAGTCGACCTTACCTCCCATTTTGTCTGCCAGAACCAGACCCAACCAGACCTAATTCTAATATATCCAACAGCCACTTCGAAAGAATAACTTACCCAAGTTCATTTCACCCGGGATCAAGATTATGCCATGCATCATTTTTACAGATTAGTGCTCGATTCAATTCTGCAATCTATTTGTTTGGGATCCTTTGAGCGGCGGATGGCATGGACATGCTGGACCGACCAACACCCCCTTAAAAAATGTTTCCTTCCCTTCTATTATTCCCCTTTGTTGTTTCTATTCAAGACAAAAATCTCCCCCTACAACGCATAATATATCCTATATCCTAGGGATTAATAATGATATGACATAAAATGGCAAATGGTGTGGTGGCCGGAGCTTATATATGGATTTACAAGGTCAGACATATCTCCTTGGGGAGCCCAGAGATATTGCATCCGGTAGTATTATTAAAACGGTAATAGAGACCAACTCCAGCAAACAGTCTCGCAGCTCTCAAACCAAGGAAAATATAATAAAGGGACCAATCGAAGAAGAGACTAAAAATATAGAAAAGATCTACTCAAGTAGAACTAGCGAAAGCAGTAAAAGGACCCAAAACAGCGCCTTCTCATATTTATCATAGGTATCAAGTAAGCTATAAACAATACTCATTTGTTTCCTTTACCTATCCAAATCTCCGAGTACATAATTTTTGTGCATTTAGTGGTATTAGTAGACCATTTAGCAGTAGCCAGGTTAAAAGATTCCTCGTTAAAAGAAAGACACCTATCTCAAGTCAACAACTTCAAACCTCAAACGCCCAAACACGCTTCCTGCTTATAAAACAAATAACAAGAAACGAGAAAACAACTGTTATATACTACAAAATGGCGGCTCAGAGATCATCAGCTGGAGAGACGACCAGCCAGCCTCGAGTTTTCCTGCTCTCACTCGAAACGGAAGCCTTCTTTGAAGACATGTACAAGGATCTCCTCAACGGCCTCCTTTCGAAGGCAAAAGTCCAACGGGCAAAGAAAGCAGATGCGACTCTTCGGTATCTCTCAGAAAATACCCCCGACGCGATATTCGCCACCGATCCAGCTCTCCTAAAACCAAAATATTCCGCAGTCCTTGACAAAGTGATCTCCTATGTTCGTGACGGCGGAACTATCGTTTTAGGTGGCCACTTCAGTTCGTTCGCTAAACCAGATCATCTCAAGCGTTTCTTCGAGTTCAGCTGGGGTCTACCCTGGCAATCTGGATACTATCATCGAACAACAGTGCATGTGAACGTGAACTGCCAGGGCTTAGAGACTAGGGGATTACCGGCATCATATAGCCAGAAGGCACTCTTTCTCAAAAACGTTCCACCTGAGGGCAGGCTGTATTTACCCAACAGGGACTCGATGACGGAGTCTAGGGTTTTCGGCCCTGAAAGAATCAGCGATCTTAGCCAGGCAGCTGTTGTATTTGCACCATACGGACGCGGTAGGATTGGGTATGTGGGAGATGTAAATGGTGAGGATGGCTCTCATGCAGCTATTTTAGCTATGTGTAAGGTGCAGCCTTGGTAGTAACCGAATTTTTCATGTATGGTTTTTCTTGATCATGCAATCACCCTGCCTGACTGCTACAACCCTCTCGATTATGGATACCATAGGGTGCTGAGTATCATGTCTAGGGAGATGTCACAGCTTCTTTCAGTTTGAATGGTACAATGGGATAAAGAAAGGAAAGAAGGGAAAATGGCAAGTCTTTCTAGGCAAGCGGTTTCAAATGATAAGAAACTTCTGCGTGTAGCCATTTATCCATTTTTCTTTGTAGCTGCAAACCCCTTAAGGAGCTATAAATGGATATTTTAGCTGAGGGTAAGAGAGGCCTTTGGGGGTAAGTTTTTATAAACATAGATTATTGGCAAACAAAAAAGAATGCAGGCGTTTGATAACACAGCTGTAATAACTAATTAATACATTTAGCAACCATAAACCAGTTAAAAAAGAGTGAAACAAGAAGAAAGTGGCACGTATTGACCCGAAACGAACACTTGACTATGAGCGTAATTTCCAGGCAGTGCCAGAAGCTCATGCCTATGTAAACCGCGGTGAGGGTGTAACCATTACTGATCATTCATCTTTTCTGCTTTCCCACTTGTTTCATTATTTTCATTAGCAGTTTCCAGTTTTTCATACGCCAAACCAATAGGATTACCCTCAATTCGTGCTGGGAACTCTTCAGTGCCAAGGGTGGTAGAATGGGCCCATGGCTTAAGAGCTATTTCCTTACGAATTGTTTCCGCAAAACAACTGTTCCACTGCATACGTGGATAATGCTTGATGACATCCTCCACCGTTCTGGGAGAAAGTAATTGTTCGTGTCCTCCGATGTTATCTTTCCTATGTTAGCAAAGGTACGTAACAAATTGTGGGTTAAATCAGCATTAGAGAAAGCTTAAATGGAATGCAAACAAACCGAAGATAGTAGCCAGTTGAATCAATTGCCCCAAAGCGGTGATCATTCCAGTATCGCGTATGTCCTGGTGTCGCATTATCGCTTCAACAACGCTTTCAGCAAGCATATTTGACGCAGTGACCCTTTTTTCTGGGTCAATAATGGTTGACGCGTGTTCATTAATAGGATATTGAAGTAAATCCATGGCCAGAAACCCGCCGTAGAGTTCAAAGCTCATATATGAGGATCGAATATTCTCATCTGTAGTTCCAATATCATGCAGCATGCAGGTTATAAAGTAGGATTCATCGCTAAAACCCCACGTCGGAAATGCATAACACTTTATTGCAATTCCATAATGGTATACCCTCATACAGTGATGGAAGGTTGGGGTAGGAAGATGGACCTTGGCGTATCCCTGAATGCGGTCCGCCAGAATTGTCCGCGGAATTGGGGTGTCCGAAACTGTTATCACAGGAGGCGGTGGCATATCACGTAGTCCGATCTGGTCGAAGAGTTTCTCTGCAGATGCTTCGACAGGAGTGAAACCGAATGCATCGACTGTGCCTCTGGTAGCCGGAATCGGTGGCATAGTACTGACTTAGATGCTACCTACTAACTAATGGTTAGATGCAACTGGGTTGAGATGAGATTTTTGCGTGCTCGGTCAGAAGAACTCGAATAGACAGCCTGTATTTGTGGACGGAAGCATCTCAGAGTAAGCCAGCTACAAGTAGCCATTTTATATGATATTTACACCTCGCCGTCAGCTCCTTTCATTCCGTCATAGATCCTTCGAAGTTAGAAGCAATGTTGGACAACAAAGCTGAGTAAGCAGTATATTAGTCAGCTTAACGTAATCGTTGGAAACCGCATGTACCACATGATCAGAGCACGGACCAATTAACTAGCGCTGGTACGAAAAAAGTATTTCAACCTCATTTTTTTTTGTTTTTTGTCCTTAGCCGTTTCCTGGCCTCAACATCTTCGCACATCCTTCATGGAAGACTTAGTAACATGGACATGAACACCGGATGGCTTACTGTCTTTATCTCTTGAAATGATGTCTCCTTCGGTGGTAGCTGAGGCTACAGGGCTAAATGATGAATTACGGATCCTGGCGAGCGGGTTTGTTGCTCTCCTGGAGATTGCACAAAAACTGACTCGCCAGGAGCAAGAACTTCAGAGTCGGTTGCAGTATGCTTTTGATGAGGTATGCACACCATTTATTTTATTCTCTAGCGTTCTTTGCCCTTTTATTATGACCCTCCCAAAGCCACATGATGAGAAAAACCCGATTAGCTCTAGATCAATAGTTGCTTATGCAGCGATGAACGATTTAACATGTATTATCTGATGGCTTCACATACTACCTTTGACCTGCTTTCTTACATTGAGGCGTATAGCTAACTTGTCAAAATAGTACCAGAAACTCGCGAGCAAACTTCCTGAAGACTCAGATAATAAGCTAGATATAACCATAGGCCCTGCCCATGATCTTTCGAGCTTTGATGACACTGCCACTGACAATGTCGAATGGGTCACCAGTATGGAGAAAGCAGGCTACATATCCTCTACAGATACAAAGAACGTCACGGAGAGTTTAGAAATCTCGACTGCTGCCTTACGCAAGCTAGAAAATACACAAGACCTCAGTACTTTGCGAACTTGCCCCTTTGGTCATGGAAAGCGTAGAACTTCGATGGAACTTGATTTCACGACAAATGGTATCAAGGGTGCTCTAGATTGCCCCTTCAATAAATCCACCAAACCGCTCGCTGCCGGAGAACAGGGAGATATAAATGGTGAAAGATGTCAGAATGATAATGGAGACCCTATTAAATTGGAGAAGATTGGGGATGGAACCGCTTCAACAACACGATCTGTACACTCTTCAGCAGCACGCTGCCCCATCCGGTACCTGGGAGACCACTCTCCTGAGGAACTGGCCGAGTACTTTCAGAACCACAAGCATGAGATTCCACGAAGTCACTCAATTTGTATCCGACGGTATCAGAATAATCCACAGACCAGTCGTCAAATTGATGCCAAATATGGTAATGTGATCAATATGGTGAAAGGGCTAGGCGAATACCACCAACCGTATCTATCAACTCCCCATGAAATAGATGAGACTAGACAAGCGGATGCTGGCGTTGGTGTTAGATCGAGTTCAGTTGAGCGAGTCGAAAAATGGGCAGAAGACGTGAGCAATAAATCTCCTCCCGCAGGCTCAACGTCACCTGAGGAAATTGAAATTGCTGCGCCCGCTCCCGAAGAACACCAAGCTCTCGCCAATGGCGATGATGAACGAGAAGGTCATTTCGAACGCCCTCTTCGTGATGTTCGAGTTGGAGAATCACCGAGTCGTCCATGGGGTATCCATGTCCCTCCCGAACAACCCACAATAGACCACCCCTTCAACATACCACCCGAATCACACTATGAGAAGCCGGAGGAGGTAGAAGAAGACCCAACGATGCTATTACCTTCTCAAGGCCGTTTAAGTCCTCTTGGCCAGGCATCTACTTTCGGAAATGACGCTGAAGCGGATGCCGATGCCAACGTCACTCTTGGTGCAACGGTGGAGGACTTACCTCCTGAGCCTGAAATAGACGAACCAAGCAGCCATGTCCACTCACATCAAATGCCACATACAAATACACACACGAATACCTATTCTGTTCCACGATCGAATCTCTCCCCTGACGCGCCCATTGCCCATATACCCAACCCGCAGCCGAGAATGGTGTTTAACGGTCCTGTATTCTTCGGATATACGGCCGAGGCAGCCGCCCTCCTTTTGGAGAAGATGGGTCACAAATAGGCAACCGATCTTCCTTCCCTTTGTATTTGAATTTGTTTATTGGATATTTCGATATCTCTTGATTAGTGGGATTTACTTCGTCCAAGCGAGCATCTGTTGTCTAGCCTTCTATTCCATGCTTTCTATTGGCGTTTTGTTTGTCATGAGTGTCTTCTACATTTGACCTATATTGCTAAGTACCGCATAGTTGCTGTTGTTGCTATTTCATATACCCAACCAAGCAAGTGAGCATGATAGCCTGTCCCATATTTTGCATATTAATTATACGTTTTCCTTAGAGGCTCATACCCCATTCTTCTACATTAACAAACCGCAATTCTCCTCAGGACAATAAAGCTCTAATATAATATTCCGATACAAGCAAGTTGATTATTCCTGCAGCTAACCCTGGCCTTACCCCCTCTCCTTTCAAGAACCTCTGCCGCCATTCTCCCCACCGACTATCCCGGCGCTCAGAGGCCAGAGGTCTTGCCTGGCTCTCAGTTAGCTACATGGTAATATACGTGTCTAAGGAGAACCGGAGCAGGAGCTCTCAGAACTACCCCCCAAAAAAAAAAAAAAAAAAAAAAAAAAGAAGTTGGTCACATCATATACAGCTGTATTTAATCAGACTTCATTTCACGCTCGGGACTAAACTAATACTCATTAGACGTGACCTAAACGAGCAAGCTGGCAACGACCATCGCAAACAAGGTGGTGATCCCGATACTTGTAGCACCAGCATTGGAGATTGTTCCTCCATGAGATGGCGAGGCAGAAGGGGAACCTTCGCCAGATGTGGGAGTTGATGTGATGGCAGCTCCACCGACACCGGTCGAGTTGACACACATATCCTGAGCAAGGAGGTTGCTAGGCGAATTAGAGAAGGTAATATCCATACACTATACACTCGTATCAGCATCCTGCACTTTTCTCCCGCCCCTCAAGGAGCCAACCAATTTACATTAGGAATCCTTACATTGTACAGCGACGAACCGCCTTCCGACACCTGCACTATCTGCAGACTTGCGTTCGTGCCGTCCTGAATACCCAGGCCCTTTGGGATAGAGATCTTAGGGAAGCAAAACGTGCCGTTACCGGTCTGGTTGAAACCAGGGACAAGTATATGATCGAAGATGACGGAGTCGTTTTCTCCCAGGCCAAGGTTGACGTAAGTCAAGGCCCAGGGGTGAGTGGGCTTGAAGAGGATAGAACCACCGTCAACAGGCCATTCCGTACGGTTTGTGGTGATGTTGATGCCGCCGCCTAGACACATCCAGTTTAGTCGAAGGGCTGCGAATATCCTGGGGACATGACTTACATGGACGGGTATACTGTGTTTTGAAGGAGTTTCCTCGCCAGTAAGGGTATTCAACACGGAAATGCGCGGAGACAAGGCTCAAGCCAAAGGCGAGGAGGACCAGAAGCTGGTTAGTGAGCATCTTGACTACCTATGTAGGGGGTTCTCTTTGATTTTGAGAGAAGAACGAGAACGAGAACCTGAGGCATGGGGATGTCTTCAACTCTTTATACATGTAGCATATTGGTTAGTTAAGCGACTACTCTGTTCTACCCTCGCAGCTTACTATCTATGTAAGCGAGATTTCCCGAAATGTCAAGCTATTCATATCTAGATAGGTACGTGCGTTACTCTATACGGCAAGTAGGAGTTGCCAAGAAAAGAAGAAGCTTTCCGCGGCAGAAAAATAATGCGCTCAAACCAGCTCGAAGGCGGTAAAAGATCTTGGCCATGATTACATAACCTGGTTACGTGATAAAGCTGAATAAGCTGGTCATGTGATAGACATAATCCTTTCCTTTCAACATCTCCATGGCAGCAATTAATATTTTGATGAATCGTTTATTTAATCTGGCGTTAGAACCGATATTTTATGCGATCATGGGCCGTTACTCATGATATTTTCACATGCCTTCCAAGAAATCGGTACAGTATATTTTCCAGACATTAGATACCGAATATTAGCTAAAACCAGAATCTATAGAGAAAGAATGGCCCCATCGCAGTTTGAAAGCAATGAGCCAAATATGGAGGGGGAAAAATGAAAATAAATATAAAAGTAAACCAAGGAGAAAAGAAGCAAAATCAAGGCAACGAGCTACCACGAAACTTGGCCCCTGGAAGGCTGTAGTACGTCCCTGCACTACCAAAAGGCGATGGTCAACGGTCTGGATCACTTATCTACAAAGACAATCCCCGGGTAAGCACCTTTAACAAAGCCGTCTAAACTGATAATAATACTGTTGACAGCCTCGATCCATTACACGCCCAAGAGCGGCGCTTTCGTGATAGGGATGCTGAACGAAACCGGATGCTGACATCCTACGTTACTACGGAGTGGCTTGGCAACTGGAATCCCGAAGTTGGCTAAGAATATTAGTTAGATTGCGATTCTGCCTTCCTAGCCAAAAGAGCTGAACACTTACAGATCGGCCAATCTCCAGTTTCAAATGATTGAAGATATACACTAAGGTATGGTGTTCCTTTCCTATAGGAAAAGGAAATATACGCATGCAAGTAATTAAGTGTCTCTTGGTCCGCGTGTGGGCTATAGGTTGAATCAAATCAGCCACTTATCAGTCACACTCTGGCTATTTGACTTACTAGTATGCGCGCAAACTGTCTTTGTACGTCTGAGCCATATGACTCCAGCCACGTCGTTCAAAGAATGTCACAAGCCCGTCGGCTACGCGACCATCGTTCAAGCCAAAGGTTGTGAAGTATACCTGTGGTTCAGGCATGGCTTGGTTATGATGGAGTGTATAATTGGCCATGAGTGGAAGCTGTTCATCCGGGATTGTTCCGAGCTGCAGGAAAGGCTCAGGATAGTCACGCATGCCAGAGGGGAGTTTGATAAGGCCCCAGAGCTCTCGCAACATCTCAAGTCCTGCAAGAGTTGAAGCATCGTTCAATCGGCCACCCATAGTCCACAAGTCCTCCATTGCTTCAAGCGTGACATTAAGCTCTAGTATGTAGATCTTGACTCGAGACTTGCTGGGGTCTATGAGATCGCAAGAGAGCAAGCGCGGAGACGCAGTGCTATTGGGACCTTTGGAATCAACATACTCCTCAAGTGCACGCAGGGGGGCTTCCAGCGAAGGGTTCTGTCTACACAGGCGATAAACTGAGTCGAACACCAACGTCTTGATCGACTTTCCGGTGGCGAGTGACTTGAGAGCTGGGTAGATATAAGTTTTCAATACAAAGTTGCCCCCTTTGAGATCAAGGGCCAGCTTGTTCTGAGTGCGGATCTGGCCACCAACAAGGTTGTTTTCCAAGAGATAGGCCGAATCTTGGTCATCGACTGTGAGATCTTGTTTCAAGTGCTTGAAAAATTCCAGGTCGATGCCTTTCTGCAGGGGCATCAGTCGATCAAGGGCATCCCAGATGGAGTGAGTGTTAAATGGGTCCTTGGGCGTGCCGGTGGCAGAGTTGATGGGCTCGTACGTATACCGCACCAGTGACTGCGAGCAGTTTAAGCTCAACTCAAACGGAGTGCCATATCGAGTCAGGATGCTTAACCATCGATTGTTTATACGAGTAGGGTAGACACCGAGGAAAGGAATAACATGGTTGAGGAATATACCCAGGATCTTGTATTGGGAGTGAAGGTCATATCCGGCGACCCTTAGCATCTCCGCAAACATCGGCGCCGTACTATGCCACCATAGCTTCTGTTCATGGTTGGGGAATTCGATGAAGTCGGATATCGTCTTGTAGACGAGTGAGCCGGAGCAGTTGGGGATTTCGATAGAACCCATGGTGGTTGTGTTGAACTTGTCTGATCTCTAGAGCGAGCGAAGAAGATGCTGAAGGTAGGTGTCTACTGGAGAGAACTGGTTACTCTGAGATAATTATAGCCCGGGACATGACGAGACATGGTGGTTGGATGCAAAATTTAGACCAGCTACTGCATATGAGGACTTCCGAAGAGCCACGAAGATCATCCAACCACTGGCTGGCAAGAGCTGGATGCTTTTAGTTGATGCATCATGGACATGACGGCAAAGCTTTACAATACTTGCGAACCTGGCCTAGAAAAGAAATTTTCCACTGCGCCCAAATTCCATTGCCATGTTATCACCTGCCTGTGGAAGTGAATAGTTCGCATGCAGGACTCTAACACCTCCATCCCTGGCTCGTTCTTCCTTTTTTTTTTCTTTTTTTCTCCCATTTTTGTTCCCCTTTAACTTCGGACGGGCTGTGAGTTCCGAGTGGTACACGAATTCTTGAATGAATAGTAACAGCCAGATAAGGAGCTCTAGATTGATCGAAGCACTGCATGCATATTACTCCAAATATTTGGTTGTCACCATCCGGCCAATTCGCTACTTGGTGGAGTAACTGGAAAATGGGCTTTTTGTCGTATTAGCCCAATATGTTATCTTGTATGACAGCTAATTATGGTATTTAGAGGAGCTGATACTAGGGGGAGTATTCCGTTTTGTTCATCCAGCGGCCTCTCCGCTTGTTTTATTCAAGTCGTGCTACGATTTGCATTATTATTTTTGAGTGTTGTCCAAACTTGCATGATGCAATCCCTATTCTTGACTACTGGGTTAGTCGCTCTTCTGAGCTGGCTGGTTTACACGGGGCGGAACCAGGTGACTTCCTGTCGTTGCAGACCGTGGCAGCCATGTTGGCCATCCGAGGAGCTTTGGAATTCTTTCAACACATCCATCGATGGGAAGCTTCAACAACTGAAGCCAGCGGCACATGTCTGCTACGAACCTAACTTCGATAAGGGCGCCTGTGATGATCTACTACGGCTATCAAGAGATAGTGGATGGAGAGCGTCACACCCAGGTAAGTCAAACTCCATACCTTCGCCGTCATCTCTGGCCGTTTGGAGCTTATTTTTTGGTTCCGGCAGGAGTCTTACAGGATTGGGTATGGGAGGCTGGTGAATCTGCCAACGAGACTTGTCCTATGGGGTCCTTGCAGACAGCAACTGCCGCCAAATCTTGTCACCAGGGCCGTATCCCTCTGTATTCGGCCACTGTGGAGTCAGCTCAGCAAGTACAGCAGGCAGTTCGGTTTGCAAGGCGGCACAACCTCCGCCTAGTCATTCGTAATACTGGGCACGATCTAGCGGGGAGATCAAGTGCCCCAGACTCGTTTCAAATTCACACTCATCGTTTACAGGAGACTCAATTCCACACCGACTTGCGGCTTAATGGGTCAACTGCATCCCTAGGGCCAGCAGTGACGGTTGGCGCAGGTGTAATGATGGGGAATCTATACGCTCGAGCTGCCCGCGAGGGATACATGGTCCTTGGTGGAGATTGTCCGACCGTCGGAGTCGCTGGGGGCTTCCTCCAGGGAGGAGGAGTGTCAGATTTTCTCAGCCTAAATCAAGGGCTAGGTGTCGACAACGTTCTCGAATATGAGATTGTGACAGCGGATGTGAGTATAGACATGACCTAATTAGGTTTCTTTAGTGCATTGATTTTTCTTTTTCCACAGTGACTGATCTTGGTTTTCTAGGGAGAGCTCTTGGTGGCTAATACTCTCCAAAATCAAGAGCTTTTCTGGGCGCTCCGAGGCGGTGGGGGTGGTACATTTGGAGTTGTTACCCGAGCCACTATGCGTGTCTTTCCGGACGTTCCTGCTGTGATCTCTGAGGTCCTTCTTCAAGCCCCCCAAACCAACTCATCATCATGGACTGAAGGCCTCTCAGTAATACTTAATGCTCTTCAATCTCTTAACCGTGACGATGTTGGTGGGCAACTGGTCATTGCAGTACAGCCTGAGCTTGCAGTTCAGGCAAGTATAAAGTTTTTTTTCCTGAATTCAACAGAGACAACCATAATCGACGAGCGCATGAAATCACTCCTTACCGATCTCAACCGCATCGACATTCAATACACATTATCATCCAAGGCTTTACCGCACTTTAGCTCCAACTACCGGCAGGTCCCAGATATTCACTCTGATAATGACTATGGGGTGATTGGATCGACTGTGGCGATTTCCAAAGAATTATTCGATTCATCCCAAGGGCCGCAAAAAATTGCCAGGGCGCTTGCAAACCTACCAATGTCTCCAGGCGATCTTCTATTTACTAGTAATCTTGGTGGCCGTGTTATTTCAAATGGGGAAATCGCCGAGACATCAATGCATCCTGCGTGGCGTGCCGCATCACAGCTTCTCAACTACATACACGCAGTCGGCCCGTCTATTGAAAGCAGAGTCAATGCTCTTGAGAGGCTAACTAATGTTCAGATGCCCATGCTTTACGCCATTGATCCTAATTTTAGGCTTTCATATCGCAATGTTGGGGATCCAAATGAGAAGGACTTCCAGCAGGTCTACTGGGGGTCAAATTATAAACGTCTTTCTCAAATCAAGAAAAGATGGGACAGTGATGGACTCTTCTTCAGCAAACTTGGCGTGGGCAGTGAGCTGTGGGATTCCGAAGGTATGTGTCGGAAGAACCAGAGTGTGGTACGTCAGGCAGTGAATTATCTTATGTCTTTTGCAACTTCTATGGTAGAGGGATAGAGTTATAGGGGCAAATTAAAGATACAGATTCTGTGGTAACTCTCCTGCGCCGTTAAGATTGTTCTTTTCCGCACTAGTAATTGTCCGATTTTTGATGCTTGTTTTAAGGTTGATCCATTTTAGGTTTATTTCCCTGGCATTCCTTCAAAAATATGCAGGGGGCGGAGATGCATGAGCTAATGAACTTATTGAGATTTAATTCTCGTAGACGGAGTGCCCCGCATCCACCGTGAAATCCATTGTAATCTACTAGTAACAGAAGTTATCCACAAAAGCCCTGCCCAACCTATGTTTGAAACCCGACTGCGGGCTTGTACCAGTGGCTGCCTTGATATGAAGCTCAAGCGAGGTAACAGTAGGCTCAGCTGAAAAAGGTTCGGTTTTAAGGTTTTGGCGGGATGCTTAACTAGTTTTATTTTAAGAAAACTATATAATTAGGAATGAAGTCATGAACCAAAAGATGGGGCTTGTAACTCTTAGTTTGGGCAGCATTTCAACTGGTAGAATGCCACATCACAGCCTTCCTTGGACCATATTTTCACATCATGCAGTCCCGCTGATTCGAAGAGCTCCTTGCGCTCACCACAGTCATATTTGTAACTGCACCCGAAACGAATTTTTTCGTGTTTAGCTACAACAATTCTATCCAGGGGGCTTCCTAGCTTGATATCTCGTGATTGCGGGATCAACGATGCCTCATGTCTTCCGAGAATGTAGTTCCACTCGCTCAGGAAATGCCAGTCATGTGGATCAAATACTCTTTCTTCTCCATCCTGTGGGAAGAGGGTGTTCGCATATCTGAGCGACTCCAGTGCGAATGGGACGACTCCCTCTGCTGTATATGCGCGGGTAACCTTCGTTGGGACCTTGCAGCTGTCTAGAGTAAGTAAAATAGAGCTCTGGGAAGGCGATCCAGTAAGCGCCTGGGAGGCAATGTTACGCAGGAATGCCGCTGCGTTCGGACGGGAGAAGTTTCCGATTGTCAGCCCAAACAGCAAGAGACAATGTGGTTGATCTTGAATAACTGGCGTCTCTTTTAACCAGTGCAGACCGTCTTCAAATGTTCCATGAAGAGCTGAAAACTGTACATGGATAAACTGCTCGGTGGGGATGGCTTGTAGCGTCGAAGTGAGCTCTGAGAAGCTCAAATCCAAGGCATAGTAGGTGACTTTCTTCTGCGCAGCTTCCAGAGCCTCTAGAAGGTGGATAACTTTATCTAAACTCCTGTATATTTTTGGTGCTTTAGTCGACCAGCCTGGGGCAAGAAGATAGTAAAGATGGGACTATCATATAAACTTACGCGCTTCCCAGGTCAACAACTACACTCCCATCGGCAATTGATGCAGCCATATCTGTGGCCTGCTCCTTTAATATCTGAATTTCCTCATGTCTCGGATAAAAGTCAGGGGCATGGGAATGGCGATTCCAATGTTGAATCCCTTCCGTGCTATAAAACAGCAAAGCGGGAAGGGTCTTCGGACTTGACAAGAGCCCTGCTTCGACCTGTTTCGGGATGGATTCTTCAAATTTGCTTCGACGAATGTCAAGAATATGAGGGGGGTTGGTGTTGCCCATGCTTGAGTCTCTGTTTTCTTTTTCTTGCTTCCTTTAAACCGAGTCCATAGACGATTGAGGCCTTTACGCTGCTGCTTTCCTGTCTTATATGCTCTCTTTTCTGTGATCTATGCTTTTCCCCCCAGATGGACGAACACTGCTAGTTTCCGCTCTAAAATCATACCCCTAAATTTGGACCTGCTAACAAAATATCCACCCTTGCACATAATATTTCTATCACATTTTTGATCCAGGCTGACATCATATAAAGTTTTTCAAGTGCCTTGACCATCGGAATACAGTTGTACATAGTATAGGGGAGTGTTGGAAATAAAACAGAAAATTAGAATTTTACATATCTTCTCAAATATGTGAGTGGAGTCTTGTTTTTACTGATCTATAACGACACAGTATATCTTAGCACAATCGGATGTCCTGAGAGTTACAACAGCTCTAGCTATTCCAATACCAATATCTAATTGTATTTCTTTTGACACAATTACTGTTCACCCGCTGGGGCTGTCTGCGTTCATAATTAAACAACTTAACAAAACAAACACGAACTGTCCTCCCAGCTTTGTTGTATACATAGTATAGGCAAAAGACGACTCTGCACACCAGGACTTTTCCTCCTCCAGCATACAAGAAGAATCGGTTCTCCAGATATCCCTCTATCTTCTAAGAAATGGCGTCAGTTTCATCCAAAATATTCGCCATTACTGGCGGTGCGTCTGGGATCGGAGCAGCTACTTGTCATCTACTCGCGCGGCGAGGGGCGGCTGCCCTTTGTATTGGTGACCTTTCAAACGAGAACATGAAGCAATTAGAGAAGTCTATCAGAGAAATCAACCCAGAAACAAAGGTTCATTGCACGGTACTGGATGTATCCTCATCATCTGAGGTTGATAAATGGGTCAAGGACATCATCTCCACCTTTGGGGACCTTCATGGGGCGGCCAACGTCGCAGGCATTGCCCAGGGTGCTGGTATGCGACAGATTCCAACACTTCTTGAGGAGGACGATGAGCAATGGAAGAAGGTGTTCCAGGTGAACCTCGACGGCATCCTATATGCCACTCGGGCTCAAGTCCGGGCCATGAAGGACTCTTCATCCACTTCACCAGGTGACCGCAGCATTGTCAACGTTGCTAGCATAGCATCTATGGCCCACATGCCGGATGTCTTTGCTTACGGGACTTCAAAAGCTGGATGTGCATATTTCACCACCTGTGTAGCGCAAGATGTTATACCACTTGGTATACGAGCTAATACCGTTTCCCCAGGTGAGCCCTGGCAAACTCCCACCGTTTGTTAACTTTGATACTTACTTATTTACACAAAAAGGAATCACAAGAACGCCAATGCTACCTCGCTTTGTGCCTAATGCAAAAACACAAGAGGAAGTTGAAGAGACGTACAAGAAAGAAGGATTTTCTGTCATTGAGGCTGACGACGTTGCCAGAACAATTGTGTGGCTACTGAGTGAAGACTCACGCCCTGTCTTCGGGACCAATATCAACGTTGGCGCATGTATGCCCTGATTCGGCAGTACACTGTACGAATCCATAATTTGTGGAATACTACTCAAGTTCTGATTTATTTGATTATTCTTCAAATGAATAATTATCTAAATTGCGAACTATGTTGATAGCTGGAGATTGCATAGTATAGCACAGTTTCCAGCGTGATGACTTGTTGATCGGTTGCATAATCAGTCGAGTTACCTATCTTTTGATTTATCACTACATCGTACATAGTACGTTAGTTCACACTCATAATTGATACTTTGTAAATGTGTACAGAGCGAAACGCTCCATCTGCCCCAAAAGTTCGGCGATCCACGATCTACCCGTATTTTAGTTCGCTAGTTTATCGTCTACTTTTTAAGAGACACGAAACGGAGCTCCACGTAGTTTGTCCAACTTTTGTTCCAGAGATAACTCTGCATAATAGTAATTAAGGAAAAAGAAAAAGACATAAAGTATAAACCTGGCTTTCGGCTGAAAAGCGTATTGGAACTAATGTAAGGCGAGATACTGAAAAACCGGTCCTGGTTTGTCGTCCAACAGCGTCTGCGGCCCAATCTTAAATGTGATGTTTTATGCAAGCCTTCATTTTGTGATGCTGTCACTGACGGCCTGCATGGGTACTCATTCGAAAGTCGTGCAAAACGATACAATTATTGGTAGCTGAGATAATTATCGTGGCAGTTTTGAGATAAGCCAGCGTCAGCATGGTCCACTTGACTCGTTATATTCTGGTCCGGCGAGCTCATTTTTCAGCCACGGGAGATGACCAAATAATGAAGCAAGCGATACACGAGCAGGGTGATAATAAGCAAGACATGACTGGATATCTTCACACCCATACCCATTTACTAAATACAAAATCTCCCTTTGTGGTCCAGTGGTCTTTCCATTCTTTCAAGGCATCGCTCTGGTCTTACATAGCCAATCTTCAGCCATTAAATAGACCTTCATCTTGGTTACAGTCTCCCAGTCAGAACACATAATAATGGCTCCAAACGCTGCGGACAAATGTCCTGTCATGAATAATGCTGCGGAAAAATGTCCCGTCATGCATTCTAATGGAGTCTCCTCCATCCAAAGCCATGGCCCTAGGGACATCTATACGCTTGAGGCGTTATCCCACTTCAACCGAGAAAAGATCCCAGAGCGAGCAGTCCATGCCAAAGGCACTGGAGCATACGGGGAATTTGAGGTAAGAGAGATTTTACGTATATTGCCACCACCAGAATGCAATCTGATGCGTTTAGTTAGGTCACTGCCGACATCTCCGACATTTGCAATGTTGATATGCTGCTAGGAGTTGGCAAAAAGACGCAATGTGTCACCCGTTTCTCAACAACTGGCCTCGAGCGTGGGTCCTCCGATGGAGTGCGAGACCTGAAGGGCATGGCTGTTAAGTTCTTCACTGAACAGGGAGACTGGGACTGGGTCTCGCTCAACTTCCCGTTCTTCTTCATCCGTGACCCAGCCAAGTTCCCCGACATGATACACTCACAGCGACGGGATCCCCAAACAAATTTACTTAACCCGAGCATGACATGGGACTTTGTGACGAAAAACCCTGAAGCATTGCACATGACCCTTTTGCAACACAGTGATTTTGGCACAATGTTCACATGGAGGACACTTAGCAGTTATGCCGGCCATGCGTTTAAATGGGTCATGCCTGACGGATCATTCAAATACGTGCACTTCTTCCTGGCGTCTGACCGGGGCCCTAACTTCACGGACGGATCAACTGCCAAAATCGATCCTAACGATCCAGACTTTGCCACTAAGGACCTATTCGAAGCCATAGAGCGTGGTGATTATCCTACATGGACTGCCAACGTCCAAGTCATTGATCCCAAGGATGCCCCCAAATTAGGCTTCAATATTCTCGATATAACAAAGCACTGGAACCTGGGTACATACCCCAAGGGTCTAGACACAATTCCATCCCGCCCATTTGGAAAGCTTACCCTGAACCGTAACGTGAAAGACTATTTCACCGAGGTTGAGAAACTTGCCTTTTCTCCTTCAAACCTTGTGCCTGGCGTTGAGCCGTCCGAGGACCCTATCCTTCAGGCTCGCATGTTTGCCTATCCTGACGCTCAGCGCTACCGCCTAGGAATTGATCATCTCAAAGCACCAATTCGCCGCAAGGAGACTTCTTGTAAACATGACCTTGGCCCGGAATTCGACCAGTGGCTTTCCCAGGTTACCTCGGAGTCATGGTCTCATCCACATGAGGACGACTACAAGTTTGCTAGGGAGTACTATGAAGTTCTACCTGAATTCCGGAGCCAAGAATTCCAGGACAGAATGGTGGAGAACCTGTACAAGTCTGTAGCCCAGGGACCTGAGGACCTCAGAAAGAGAGTCTACGAAACTTTCGAGCTTGTTTCAACTGAGCTTGCTCGTCGTGTCCGCGAAGGAGCAGAGGTTATTGTTGCCGACATGGCACAACCTGACTCGCCCGAGCGGGCTCAACCTGGACAACAAAGACTGTAAAATCTTGGAAATGGATTAATCCTTCTTGATATTTTTATAGCATTCATTATATAATATTTCACACAGGCCTCTTATAGGTATACTTATTTTTATTCTGTACCTGCTTCTCCAATGCAAATCATCTCCTGTGCTATATAGAGCATATGTGCGCATGTCAATGAACAGCCCCTAAAAAATGCCCAACTGCATAGTAAGTAGTTGCAATAGAAAATACTATTAAAAAACTAATATATTATCCATGAACGTTTGGCTAACCCTACAGATAAAGGCACACTCTACGTTATCAAGGCGGCTGTGAGCTGGAAGTATGATCTATGCAATTGGCAACAAAGTATCCGAAGTCATTGAAAGGTGGAGCAAACGAATGATTGACGGGGCGACCTCGACTACCCAAAAATCATCATCACTAAGGCTCTGAATGTAATATTTGTGTAGCTTAACGAAGTCTTTCAGCTACAACTTGCACAATCTCATGTTTTCGCTCAACTGAAAAAGGGTTTACCTGTCAACTCGTAACTTAATTAAGCTCAAAATTAAGTATGTGGCTCGGACCGAGTGGGTCAATAAACCCCGGGTTCTTGGCGGCGGTCCACCTGCCGATCGTTTATTTGTACTTCCAAAATTGGATGCAGGCGGGCCTAATATGGTGAAGCCACAAACGAGGCGATCTTACCGTATCAAGATTATTTGAGTGATAACGAGAATTGTCCCACATGCAGATCCCGAAATATTCAGAGTACCACCACGTCATAAAAACTCATGATTAGTGTTTGTTGTGATCCAAAGCCTCCTTCAAAAGGGCAGGCTGTTGGGGAGCAAACCCTCAGATAGATCTTGACCACAGTATATGAATTACATCATAATTTTCTCATCCACAAAAAAAAAGCCTTTTGGAAGCAGTAGGACCCCACTTATGGGTTGCGTGTTATCACTGCTTTCGTTAATAGAACATATCTAGCTCACTGCTTATCATATATATGAAATAGCTTGGCAACCGTCTTCCATTCACCATCCACCCTCACCATAGCCAAATGGTCCCGAAATCCTTCATTTTCCATCTCTGAGTCGACCTCCACAATTGCCGTGGTAGGGGTCATGGTGATGATATCCAAACGGTAAATTAGTTCCGGAGTGCATCCTCGCTCTACGATCATATCGAACAGTTCCTGAATTGGGACAGTTTTCAATTCGCCGTCAATCCAGCCATACATTCCTCCCTTTGGGTGGAATCCTTGGCGACTATGCTCAATATTGCCGGTTTTCAGGCCGTCCACATAGTACCGGGCTGCCTTTAGGACCGCTTCTTTTTCCTTGACAGAGGTCGGTTTAATGTTTTTTGGGGCCGTTGACGTTGCCATGGCAGGTGTTATTCGTCTTTTTAACTAAGTAAATGTCGGTTATCTGGCCGTACTGTAGGAGTTATATACATACTGAGAGTTGTTCGGTGGGTAAGAATGATGTTTTGGGCCAAATGGTAGTAATGCTGTTCAATGGAGTTATTGAAGTTGAGCTTGAATGGAAATGGAATAAAAGATTATGTGAGTCTCCCTATATATAGCCTTTATTTTTTTTATTTTTTTTTTTTTTGGTGGGGGGGGATTCCCGGAAGATAATAAGTTTGGCCAGCTACTGGGAACAGTACTGCAACCTTCAAAATTACGTAGTAGGAATTAAAATAGACCCAAATATTTTCCATCCTGTATCTGTTGAGAGTATGATCACGCACAACAGCAGCTTAAATTTGAGATATTGTTACTCCATCAGCTGCTTCCTTGGCAGTGTAAGAGAGAATTCAACCCCTGCCTCACTTTTTATATGGTTTCTATTATTATGTACTCCATACATATATAGGTATATTATTTCTTCATAAGTACTATATGGTAATAGGTAAATCCAATGCAGTTGAGATGCAAATATGATGTCAAATGTGAGCATACTACTATGTATGTACGTGGAACTGAATGATAAAGAAAGCTTACCCTGCCCATCCGACTACATATGAGGTGATCCATGAGAAGTCAAATGCAAAACAGGGTAGTGTAAAACTAACGTCTTTGACATCCATGTTACTATGACACATAATCAGATATGCGTTCTCGTGGTGCTGGGTGAGATGTACATAGTAGGGCTTGTAAATCAGATGCATCAATACGGACATACATAGTAGATGTGGATCGGCCTAGGTGGAACTCTCGCTTGGTGATTTTAATCAGAATTTCATCGGGTTAAGACTGTCAAGATGCTAAGTTGATTTCGCAACATTTCGAAAGAACCGACTTTGTACCCCGTACAGAGTATTAATTTTAGCATAGAGAACATCATTGAGATCAGTTTGACATTCACCATAGACCATCATCATCCGCCATATTGCAAAACTGATTTAAAGAGGGGAGAATGAGAGGATCGCCTTGTGGCTTCTAACATACTTCTTTCTGAGCAGTCCACTTCCCAATTTTTACTTTCATGACCCCGAAAGTTTATTGTGGGGAACTTTCTGTGATTGCTGAACTTCAAGTTATCAGAACTGCCGAACTAATAAACACGATGGCCGTCATTCCTCTTAACCATTCCTTTTATTGTAATAGTAGATAAATACGACAGAATAGCCCACGGGTTCAGCCTGAATCTCTCCTCTAACTCCCGTTCGAGAATACCCAAACATCCTGAAACTCATATATCAAACTGGTGGAATCATACAAGATGGTTATTGCAATCGCGGGCATGGGCCCGGTGGGAAAGACCATTGTTGAGACCTTGCTGGAAACACCTCAGTATCAGAAACAAATCGTTGTTTTGACGCGTGTAGGAACTTCATCCCATTGTCATTATTGTTATCGTCATCAACTCTGACAGTTATAGAAATCTGGGTCTAGCAGTTTATTGGACCAGGTCAAGCAGGTCCAGGTTGATTACAACAACATTCCTTCCCTTGCTGCCTCCCTCGAGGAACACAACATAGACACGGTCATCTGCACCATCGGCATGATCTCTCCTGAAGCGAGTCAGTCTCAGGTGAACCTCATCCAAGCCGCAGACAAGTCTGCTGTCACCAAGAGATTCATCCCCAGCGAATATTCCTTTGTCCAATCTGAAGAGTAATATTATATCGTTACTGGTGTTCACAGCAGTGGTTCTTACTAACAACTCCGAAAATAGAATACTTCACATTACCCCCGGAGTGCAATTTTACATTGACGCAACCAACGCCCTCAAAAATTCCAATTTGCAGTACACCCGCATCTTCCCCGGTTATTTCATGGACTATTGGGGGATGCCGAACGTTCGTTCTCATCTCAAGCCACTCGCCTATGGTGTTGACATTGCCAACTGCCGAGCAATTATCCCTGGTGATGGCAATAACGTAATCACCATGACTTATTCGTATGACATGGCCAAATTCATCGCAAAGTTACTCGGCCGGGATGAATGGCCCGAGTTTGGTTATATGGGCGGAGAAGATACTACTTTCAATGAGTTGTTGAGCTTAGGAGAGGAGCTTCGTGGTATGTTTGAGAGTGTCACTATTAGTGTTTCCACTTCATTCTGTTCAAGTTAACATTTTTCTTAACTCATAGGCGCCAAATTTGAAGTAACATATGACCCCTTGGAGAAGATAAAGAACAATGAATCCACGGCTCTTCCTCAATCAAAGGAAGTCGTCTATCCACCCGAGATTATCCAGTGGGTGGTCTCCTATATGAGTCAGGTTGCCGTCATAGATGGATTCAAAATGCCAAAGGAGAATCGCCTTAACGACCTGTTCCCAGATGTTCAGCCTGTCACTGCGAGGGAGTTCTTGACGAAAGCCTGGAAGTCTTGATTATTTTAACTATACTGGCCATTTCAGTCGAGGACAGGTTAGATTGAATATTCTTTAAATAAGCCACTCCGGCCGCTTGAAATGTGAATATAAACTTGAAAGTCTCTAGTTGCCATGAGTGAGCAAACGTAGAGAGCGATAATTCATAGGTCTGAGAGGGATTGGTCGTCATAGAGGCAAGTAGCCACACAGCACTTGTAGGCTGCTTCTTCATCATCCATCGAGGGTATCACAGAACAATAGAAGCCTGCATGTAAATGATACTAAGAAACAAATTGACGTTGGAAGAAACCTTGCGAGTTTGCCGGATTAGTCAGCCGGGTAAACCTCTAAAGACCGCGGGGAACTTTCTCATTTGTACTTGTTCATATAAAACTACAAAATCCCGATGTTGGCCCGCCGTATAACTTCCTGCTGTACTCAACTTCTTCCTCTTCCTCTTCGACGCTCGTATATAACACTTTACCTGCCCTTCCGCACACGCGCGCTCACCAGATCTGCCATCATGTCTTCCATGGCCTCCGTCTTCACCCGGGACGCCTGTCCCCGTAAGTCGAAGTGTCCCCCCCTCTATTGCCCCGCCGGCTATTTTCTTGATAAGATGAGTTGACTGACTGGTTTTCTCTAGCTGCTGGCCCATACGTATGCGTTTTCTATCTTATCTACGCTTGAAATACTCGTCAATTGAGCGCGGTGATCTAAGTTATAGTCTTTAGAGTCAAGCTATCAAGGCCGCCGGACAGGTCTTTGTCTCTGGACAGATTCCCGCTGACGCTACGGGGAAGCTCATCGAGGGAAGCATTGCTGACAAGACTGACCTCTGCTGCCGCAACATAACTGCTGTGCTGGCTGCTGCTGGCTCCTCTATTGACAAGGTCGTCAAGGTCAATGTATGTGTTTACATATCCATTTTCCTCCCTGCCAATACGCTGCCGCACCCTGTAGGGGTTCAACCAGGACACTAACTCGCAGTACAGGTCTTCCTCGTCGACATGGCCGACTTTGCCGAGATGAACAGTGTGTTTGAGAAGTACTTTGCTCACAAGCCTGCCCGCAGCTGCGTCGCCGTCCATCAGCTACCCAAGGGTGTCCCAGTCGAACTTGAGTGCATTGCTCTCCAGTAGATAGCAGCAAAGTCAGGTAGCTGTACACGTACAAAAGAATACTAAGACGATAAATAAAGAATGGGCTAAATATATCAATAAAGAGCCATCCCAGTTTAAGTTGCAGAATGTCTATGATATTATTTAAAATTATGTATGCCAGTACAAATAACAACAAACAGATTGGTATACCATCCTCATTTCCCCCAGCCTGCATCATATTCATGCAACCATCCCACGCCCGAACAAAAAGGTATGAACGTTATCCCGACGCCAAACGAAAAGGAAAAGAAAGGGAAGGGGGAAGACATTATTCATAGCTGTCTAGTATCGGGGCAAAGTTCCTGCCATGCGCCCTCCAGTGCCAGCCATTAGGCTCTGCTTAACAATTAGGTCTGCGGCAGCCGCCGTGGCCAACCGTTCCTTCTGTCTGCTTCGGTCTCGTAGGTAACCTGCAGCTTCAACTCGCATTCTGAGAATCCTCAGTATCATATCATCATTAGGCTCGGCCTGGGCCTCACGACGCTTCTCTTCTTTGGCCTTCTTCATCGTGCCCAGGTTGCGGGAGAGGAGAATGCTCTTCCCTCGTCGCGCGGAGAGCACGCCAGCGAACCCTGGCACACCTAACGTCGCAGATGAGGCGGATAGACGGTTACGGTTGGCTTGTTGCCTAGCAGCAGTGGCGCTGGCCATGCGCTCTGAAGTACGGATCAGCTGCTCAGTCGGTTCAAAATAGAAATAAAACAGCGTCTGTATCTCATGATACTTGGGGCTCTTGAGTACATCTATAGGTACTCCATTGGCTTCTCCAGTCTCTTCATCGACAGCATTGAAAAAGGCGAGAAGTAGTCCGAGCCAGGCCTGGACAATGTCAAGTTCCAGCTGGGTGAGCGGCTTTTGATTAGAAGGTTTGTCTGATAGTGGCGGAACAAGAAGGGATTCGACGGTAGATAGGACTTCTTTCCAAAGTCGAGCCATGACCGTACGCATTGCCGGGCCTGTGAGCGTCTGGTTCATGATGGAGAAATTGTCGTCAAAATAGGTGAAGAGAGGTGTAAGTGCATTTTCAACCTCTGCTTGCGTTGGTGCTTGATTCGACTGTGTCCGGTTCCTGTTAAAGTAGCTAGAGACAGTTGACATACTGATGCCACGAGAGAGGAGTGCTTTGAGGGCTCGTCGTGACAGACAGTGATTAATATAAGCAGACAACTATGAGTACCTTTAGTATCTCAACTATTGGCTTCTCTATGAGGAATGGGAACGGGGACTCACCTTCTCCGTTATCTTTCTTGTCATATCCTTCTCCGTCCTCTTCAGCGTACGAAATGCTTTGCCAAAATAAAACTGAATATCATCCCTTTCTCCTTCCATGCTAACCCTCAGCAGTAATCTCCCTTGCGTATCCAAGTCCAGCCAGTAGTCCCGTGGTGCAAAGTCTGCGAAATGCACAGGGTCTAATTTCATTGATGTTCTACCAACGTAGTCATGGTCTCCCATCGCATCCCAGTCCCATATTGTTGCAATAATGTTCAGTGGCCCTTTTGTCATGATATCTACTGTATCGTCCCATCGTGGGTTAAGATTATTATAGATAATACGTGACTTTGAGATTCTCTTCTGGTATTCATCCGTCAGGACAACATACGGGTCACTCAAGCCATCGAGATCGCAGCCTTTGAGGTCTTCAGCCTCAACGATCTTAACAGTGAAGACGTAGTTGGTTATTTTGCGCTGTCTCTTCGCTAGAGGCGGTGCATTTTTAGCCAACACTTCGGCGCATGCGTCGATGTTGATGTCGCGTTCCAGTTGGTCAAACTTCTGCAGTGCGTACTCAATGTTATTGAGCTTCACAAAGGACTAACAGTCATAGTCAGCGGCCACTCCGATATCCACGCAGGGAATATGTAAAGAAAAAGGGGTTTGGCATACTTCTGGAAAGAATTGAAACGGCTCGACCTTCTCTTTGCTAGTCCATGCATCCTTTGCCATCTGCATCCACTTCTCCTGCTTCGTCTGTCTGGCTGCAGCCTCCTGTTCTGGCGTCAATCTGTCCATCTCGCGGCTAAACATACCCTCAAGAATTTCGCAGTATCTCGCCATCCCATTCCCAATCGACCGTGAAATAGCGGTCATGAATTTGGCGTATCCTACATCATCGTCCCAATTCAGCTGTACTATCTGATCCACAACCTGGTTAAATGACCGAAATACGTCTGTCACTGAGACGCTGTGGCGCTGGTCCTCAGTAGGTATGTCACCCGGAGCAGCTATTTGGACCTTGAAATCATCCTGCTTAACAGCCTGGTTTACCCAGTCGTTTACTTTGGCATCTGTAGCCTGGATCCAGCGCCAGACAAAGTCAGCAAGAAGTTCTTCGATGTGAAAAGGAAATGGTTCACCAGGCAAAGCTTCGATGTAAGTTTGTCGTATGCTAGAAAGTTCACCGTATAGATCAAAGCCATCTTGCATCTCTATCAGCTCGTTCTTTTCCTGGGCCTGTTCGATTATGCGGATGATCATATCTCTTGCATCTTCGGCATACACTGGGAGGATATAATTAACCAGCACCGTAATTGGATTAATTCTGTGAAGCGAAAGTTAGTATAAAGGTCTTTCATATTGAAATGCTGACGGGCAATTGCTCACCCTAATATGTTAGGATTTTTCCGGTAGCGCTTCTGTATCCGCTGGCAAACCTTCATCACGGCTTTCCCAAGCTGAATAACATGATGAAATTCCCACTCATGTTGATCAGGCGGGATCTCTTTATTCAGGTACTCTTGGTAGATAGCCTTGGCTTTCTCCAATAAGCCATTCGACGCGTATTCGCAAAACCGTTCCTGTTCCTCCACGCTCTCCACAAAGTACGGATCGGACTCGACGTGGTTTTCAAGAAGATACATGACTGGACCGATAGGTGGAATCTTGGCTTCATAGCAGGACATCATCGTTTCATACAGCTGTCGAAGAAGGCCTTCATGTATAGATGCAATGACACGCCGCATACAGAATATATCTGCTTGGGTCCATTTGTTTCTATCATACAGAATAGGCGCCATAACTATACTAGCGCGCTTATTTTTGGTGGCAGGGGGATCCTTGACGAAGGTGAATGCTGAATCAAGAACGTCAAGGCTGACTTCCTGGTCCACGTATTTTTCTCTAAATACGTCCAAGAAAAGTACAAGTCGGGTGAAGTTGGGAATCCTCCAGCGTAGACAAATCTCATTGAGCAGTTCAGTAGACTGTTTAGAAAGTAGCTTTGAGGCTGGCATTTCCGAAGTAGCCTCCGACGCCTCAAGTGATTGATCACGGAGATCATGGGTGAGCAGCTGATTGAGCACGAATCGATAGTATGATCGCGGATCGGGGGGTATAAATGTGTACAAATTCGTGCCTGGATGCTCATAGTTTTCATCTTCCAGGGATAGTGAGCTCATATCTACTGGCTGGTCAATCACATAAGATGAGTTTTCCGACGCGTTGGGATACGGCTCCGAGTTCATATCCTCTCCAAATGATGCATCTGCCAACTGGGCATTAAACTGTGGCAGTGTTGCACCCGTACTTTTGGCGAGCTCTGGGTTCGACTGAATTATGGCTAGCATCATCTGTGAGAGGTCCGGCCCCTCTGCTTTCTTCCATGCCTCATAGCCCTCTTCAACCTCAAAATCGGCGACAGAGAGGGTGCCCCCAGTATTGAGGTTAAGATGTGCTTGATACAGCTTCAAGTCCTGCAGCGCTTCCTTTCCAGTCCACAAGTCTTTGTTCTTGTTGATATCTGATTGAACCTGGGAATTCCGGAGACCAAATGCCTTTGCAACGGTAAGGACCAACGGCATGTCGTTGACATCATAGCTTAGCGGGGCAGCGACTTCAACTGTAGGGCCATTCTTTTGCGAAGACTCTGTTAGATTCTGGTCGTGAGCTAGCAGCTTACTTTCCAGTGTTGCCAGCCTGCTTGCCAGCTCCGGCCTGTCCTTGATCCAGTCATGGTCCTTGAGGATAAAAGTGATAAGCCGGACAAACAGCGCAACATGGCGATCCACCATCAACTTCCAGCTAGTATCTTCCGGAGCTTTCCCTTTGGACAGCTCCTTGGTTGCGTTTGAGAAGAAAATTAACACTAGGTCCTCTACACGCCGGTCCTTTTCCATACGTTTTTTGAAACTTTGCTCCTTCAACGAGTTTAGAAAGGCCCCAAACGTTCTCTTCACCGTAGCATCCTGAAATTCCTTTCTGTGTTCCTTGCCAATGAGCACGCCAGTTAGCCGTTTCTCGAGCTCATTGACAAACCCATGGGGGAACCTGGTGCTCTTTGAGTCCCGCACCAGGCTGAAATCCTTCATCAGGTCATGAAATGAGGTGGAGGCCCGGTTCAGCGACTGTGGCCGAGCTGGAGGAGCAGCTTGTACTCTCTTCGTGCGCGCCTGGAGAAGGTAGGCTAAAAAGGCCACTCGGAGGGCATACGTATAGGCGTCGTTGCTGCTGACCCTGCGCCGGCGGGCGGCAGATATGTTTCGAGAGTGACGCTTGACATTATCGCTAGGGCTATCCACGCGTCTGATGCCGCCCACCGAGTGTCTTTTGGTGCTGGACATGTAAGTCGTCTCGCTGACGCTCACGCTCATGAGAGCTCTTCTCTCGGTGGTCCTTATCTTGGGCGTAGCCGTTTATAAAGGTCGGTGTTGCGCATAAACCTGGGGTAGGTCGGTATTTAGTATAATGATTTGCCTATATGGAGAGTAGACAGCTTCGATTTACCTGTAGAATGAGAGAGAGAGCGAGAGAGAGAAATGTCTTCAACTTGTTGGTGCTCGTTCTCTCCCTGCGGTGGAGAAACGCAAGCAAAGCGTCACGTTACAAGGCGAAAAATAAACACGAACTATCCAGCGCTCTGTGAGAGAGAAGAAAGTGAATACTCTGTGGTGCTCAGGCCAAATCGAGGGTATCTCGAGCTATGAAAGAGAAAAAACAAAGCAGAAGAAGAATAAAACAGGGAGAGAGAGGGCGAGAGGTGAGCAGTTGATCGCGGTCCAAAGGGATGAAGCAAGCCAAAGTAAGAGATGTGGATTTTCTTAGGCCTCTGACGTAGCGTGTTAGATCTAGTATTATCGCAAGGCCGGCTTTGCTACTGGCCAGAGAGAAGGAGACTCCTCAAGGAGACGAGAGTGACGGGCTCGATATATATTATCATGTATGCAGGTAAAAAAACCCTCCGTCTTGGTTTGTTTCTACGTTATATTATACATATATTCCCCTCCTGGTAGAAGCCCGGATTATTTATCGAGCTTCCTGGGTGAAACGGGGTCAACAGAGCGGTTACATGGTACAGTGCTGTCACTCTCGTCTGCGGTAGGTCCATCGTGAAAGCCTCCATTGATACTGACATGCGTAAACAAAACAGGATATGGGTGGTTTTCACTCAATGGCCGCAATCTGAAACAGGATGAATGCACGAGCACTATTGGAAAGAGTGCTGTTGGGATTTGAACGGTGTCTGTGATTGGATCTCTAGGCTGTTTTCATATACAAGTACAATAACCTTTGCGGCCATCACCAGCTATCCTCATGGGGCTTCCTCGCCTAGAGAAGAAAGTAGAAGAGTCAGTAAAATATCATTCTCTGTAGCTCTCTGTAGCCCATGCCACGGGTACTCACCGATAGTGCATTGGGTCCACCGAGCTCGGCCTCGAGTCCATCTGGGAACGTTCGAGGGGCGCTGGGCTTGTCCGGATAGAAGAAGCTGACGATGCCGGAGAAAGCGAACACGCTGGCTATGGAGCACCCAAGCAAGAAAAAGGCCTTGGGGGCTTTGAAGTGAGTATACTCCTCCGGGCTGAAGGTCGTCAAGATGTCGTTATCTTCATGGACTGGCTCTCCGAAGTTTCGTTTATCCTGCGCATCCCACCACCCAGCGTTTGGGTCACGGAACTGGCGCTTCAGAGCTGGAGGGTTCTCATATCCGCCATTCTATGTCCAAAGTCAGTTTGAACGAGCAGGAAATTAGCCTCAGATCGAGGAAACAGTGTGGACTGACCATTCCCGAGTCCTGTATATCCGCCTGAGAGGCATATCTGACTTGTGTCAGCGTGATTCTGGAGGTCGTTGGGATGCGAGCCAGCGTTGGCACTCGCGCCGGCAGGACTCGTCTCGACAGCATCTGGTTCACAGCGTTAGTGTATATGCACGTATCATCCATCTGCCAGACCCGTCATCACACTCACAATGGCGACTCTCAGCTCGTCTCTGTCTCTGTCTTCGCTTTCTCTTCTTTATCATCGTCGGTCTCTTTCGTTCTTCTTGGTTTCATCTAGCCTGCTTAGTCATCCTCCTAGTAAACTTGACCTTCAAAGCGGCGAAAATTAACGACTCCCGCAAAATCCTCAGACACAGCGATCTTTTGCCCGCCAGCAGCGCATCTTTGCCGATAACGATGCCAGATTTCATATGTGGCCTCGGTGGAAATAGATCTATCGATTGATGGGAAATTTGGGAAATTTGACCTTGTTTTCGCCTAGATACCACGGGTTAGGGGGTTTTTTCCTAGCTTCGTTTTCCACCCCCCATTCAATTTTTTTTTTTTTTTTATTTTAGTGACAAGAAATGCAAAACGGCACGCCGAACGGCAGGGGACACAGTCGCGATACCACGACGCCTGAACATGATGGCGAGCCTCAGCGCATAGCCAGACCTTCTACTCCTACAGATACTCTCTCTGAGCAGCAGCAGACGCCACAGAGAGACGCTCTCCAAGAAAATAATGATGGTGTCGCGAAACACGAACAGCTTAATGGAATTAATGGACCACCATCCAAGCGGCGGAAGCTTGCAGGCACGACGGGACGAACCACACCACGGCCACCTTCGCCGCCATGGAAACGCGCCGGATTCGATGGTCCGACCTCCTTTATGGAAAATGGGAAGCGTCGGTCGACGAGGACAAATACGATACCTGTTGAAATGCTGCCCGAAGACGATCCACGACGCACGCGACCTCCGGTGCAGACAGGGCCTATGAACAAGACAATGCAGAGCTGGACTCACGGGCAGAGAGAATCTGCTTCACCACTCGGGCGTGCTGCAAAGCCAGAGACGAATGGTAGACGCATACTCGGCGGTAGCAACCATAACAACGGCGGCGTGGATCCATCTCCCTCTACAAATGATGTCTCCAGACGCGCAACGATATCAAAGGCAGCATCCGGATTCGCTAAAAATTCCACACAGCCTCAACCTTTATCCCAAAGGCGCGTCTCTGATATCCCACGAACCTCCACCTCAAACCCCGTTGGCCCGAACTCCCCGTTAGATCCTCCACCGAAACGTAAGCCAGGACGACCTCGTCGAAGGCAGAGTGACGGCATTGCTATAGCAAAGCAAGAGAACAGACTTACCTCGGGAGACCAGCACCGGAGTCGGATAGACAGTAAGGATAAGGACGATGGGACAAGTCAGAAGCTTCCGAGACTACGGTTTCGCGTTAAGATGCCGTCGTTGGGGGTCCAGCACCCTTCGCACGTCCTCCCGCCGAAACAATACTCGTCATTTAATGAATGGTTATACAAGAATACTCCGGGTGAAGAAGAAGCCCATTTCTCTTCGCCAAAGGAGGCCTTACAAGAGGCTCGGATTCGGTTAAAACTCAAAGAGGCAGGCGAACCAAACCAAGTCCTAAGCAAAGAACGCTGTTCATTCTATCTTACGGATCCCGAAGAAGCGCCCCCTCGCCAGTATTCACACCAAGATCATCTTGTTGCGCATGCATTATATTTCAAAAAGCTCCTTGACAAGGAGCGCAAACACCACAGAAATCTTGCTAGACTCTTTGCTCACTGGTGTGCTGATGCATGGAAAAAACGGAATAAAGCTCCAGAAGATATTCTCAAAGAACAACACAATGAACTACGCCAGAAACGCCGACAGCTAATCAAAGATTTACAGCGGCAATTTGACTTAGTTCGTGCTGAGGTCGACAGAGCTAGGCTGGCTATTTGGGAAGAAGAGCGTAAGGTGGAAGAGCAGTTGGCATTGAACAATGCTTTGAAAAAATCTACTGCTCTGTTTGAGAGAAGGAGGTCCGATCGAATTGGAACCGGAGAACTGGATGACGAGGAGACAGATGAGTTGTCGTCTGACGAAACCGAAGATTCGGGTGATGACAGCAATATGTCTTCCTCGGGCTCAGAAACTGAAACTGACGAAGGCCAGGATGATAACGATGATGAGCAACTTAGCCCGGAAGCCCTTCGTGCGAAATATGCAAATCTTGCATCTATGGACACCTCCATATTCTCCAGTGACAATTGCGATGAGAACGAGGATGAAGACGATGAGAACAAAGAAAACCAAGATGGAGAGGTAGATCCCAGCGAGACTGAATATCTTAATGAAGAGCCAGTAGAATGCAATGCATCCCTAGCCATAGGAGAAGAGAATGCCTATGTCAAGCTGGAGGAGGTCGACCCGTTACTTCTTGACGAATCTGACGAGTCCACAGATATGGATGACGATATGGGGGATAGTGATGAAGGAGATGAAGGAGAAGATAGTGATGATGCTCATGACAGCGATGAGAGCGACGAAAGTGACGAAGGCGGAGGCTTATTAGGTTTTTTCTCCAAAGGTGAAGCCATTGTTCCAAATAAAGTTAACCTCAATGAGGACTCGAAGCATGCCATGCAAGATGTTGATGATACTGTCGTCAAAAGTACCCATGACCTTAAAGGCGATGAAGAAACAAGCGTTGGGCAATTTCTTGCTATTTCAAAAAGTCCGAACAAAGGGTCCAACGCGGGTACAGTTATGCAAGGTGGTGATCAGTCAGAGGCCACATCTCCGGCCACGGTCGAAAATGGCGAAATTATGGAAAATCACAGGTTGGCCGAAAATGCTAGCATGGAGGATGGATATAATCCACTGTCCAAAGCTAGCAGCCCTAAACTCACAAATACCAACGAAACAGCTCTTGCTGCGGAAAAAACAGGTATCAAAACGCCCATTCCCCATCTTCTCCGTGGGAAGCTACGCGAGTATCAACATTTCGGTCTCGACTGGTTAGCCGGGCTATACGCTAGCAATATAAACGGCATTCTTGCAGATGAGATGGGCCTAGGAAAAACTATTCAGACAATAGCACTTTTAGCCCATCTGGCTGTCGAACATGAAGTTTGGGGCCCTCATCTTGTTATTGTCCCTACTAGCGTCATGTTAAACTGGGAGATGGAGTTCAAAAAATGGTGTCCAGGCTTTAAAATTCTCACCTATTATGGCACCCAGGAAGAGAGAAGGCAGAAACGAAAAGGATGGATGGACGATGACCGTTGGCATGTTTGCATCACTTCATATCAACTTGTTCTTCAGGATCAACAAATTTTTAGGCGACGAAATTGGCACTACATGGTGCTTGATGAAGCTCACAATATCAAGAACTTCCGGTCTCAAAGATGGCAAACACTGCTTACTTTCAAGACTCAGGCAAGGTTGCTTCTAACAGGAACTCCACTCCAGAACAATCTGACAGAACTATGGTCGCTTCTATTCTTTCTTATGCCCTCAGATGAAGACAGCAATGGCATTGAAGGATTCGCGGATCTCAGAAACTTTTCAGAATGGTTCCGTCGCCCTGTTGAACAAATTTTAGAGCACGGAAGAGAGACAATGGACGACGAGGCGAAGGCAGTTGTTTCGAAATTACATACTATCCTGCGGCCTTACATTCTTCGACGTCTCAAAGTGGATGTGGAGAAGCAAATGCCAGCCAAATACGAACATGTTGTTGCTTGCCGTTTGTCAAAGCGTCAACGATACCTCTACGATGGATTCATGTCTCGAACTCAAACAAAAGAGACGCTGGCTTCCGGGAACTATCTTTCCATCATCAACTGCCTGATGCAGCTCCGAAAAGTGTGTAACCACCCTGACTTGTTCGAAACTCGGCCAATCACTACGTCCTTCGCTATGCCCAACTCCGTCGTCGTGGAATTCGAGATAAAAGATCTGCTTGTTCGGCGACGATTGCTGAAAGAAAACGTATTGAACAAGCTGGACCTTGATTTTTTGAATCTTGCTCCAATATCTCGAGAGCAAAACTCGAAAATACTTGTGGAAGACTGCGCCCGAATCATGGCGTACAATCCATTAAATTCCCTTCGACAGCGACAATACAATCGAACAAATTGGAACATGAACTTCGATGGATCCACAATACAGTCAACCTTGCGCTCCATGGATAATGATGCTCGGAAGGCCCGTATGAGGGAATTGGAAAGGTGCCTCTACTTTGAGTCCAAGCGCCATAGCCAGCGTCCAATATACGGTCAAAGCCTCATCGATAAGCTTACCATTGTCACCACCCTCCAACCAGACACTCGACACCAACCCCCACGAAAGTACCTCCTTGACTGGCTCTCGAATAAATCCTTGGTGCTCAATTCTATGGTTCGATCCATGGAATCAACATCGCTAATGGTAGAACCTTTGGTACAAAAGTTTGCATGTCTCACGCCAGCTGCTGTTGCCCATGGAGTTACAGCTGCTACCCTCACCCCTATCACATCACGCTATTTTACTCCTTCCCAGCGAATTCCTGCATATGACCCGTTCCATGAGGCCCAGATGCGACTATCGATTGCCTTTCCCGACAAGCGATTACTGCAATACGACTGCGGGAAACTTCAACAGCTTGATAAACTGCTTCGGACACTGCAGGCCGGCGGTCACCGTGCTTTGATCTTTACCCAAATGACCAAGATGCTTGATATTCTAGAACAATTTCTAAATATTCATGGCCATCGATATCTTCGTCTAGACGGCTCTACAAAGATCGAACAGCGGCAGTTATTAACGGAACGATTCAATAGCGACACACGTATCTTGGCGTTCATTCTTTCCAGTCGTTCGGGCGGTCTAGGGATCAATTTAACAGGAGCAGACACTGTCATCTTTTACGACTTGGATTGGAATCCGGCGATGGACAAACAGTGCCAGGATCGCTGCCACCGAATTGGCCAGACTCGAGATGTGCACATCTATAGGTTTGTCTCTGAGTACACGATTGAATCCAATATTCTACGTAAAGCGAATCAGAAAAGAATGTTGGATGACGTTGTGATACAAGAGGGGGAGTTTACTACCGATTACCTGAATAGGCTTGATGTGGGTGGCATACTAGGCGATGAGGAACTGGCTGAGGGCCATGATGAAGCGGGTGCCGCTATGGACAGGGTCCTCGATACCAAGGTTCACGGGACTTCGCGTATCTTTGAACAAGCTGAGGATAAAGAAGACATCGATGCGGCAAAGACTGCCGAAAAGGAAATCGAGCAGGCTGTTGATGACAGTAACTTCGATAATGCCAGTACTCCCCAGACGCCAGCACCAGGACAACAACCACCCAGTCAAAGCCTACTGGGGACCCCTGCCCCCACTGAACTAGGCGAGTATGAGCGCTCTGTATCACACGTGAACGGCAGTGTATATCCGGCTTCAACTTGCGTGACCCCCGATGGTCGTCCTGTCGAGATTGACGATTCTGAATCTCACGTTGGCCATATCGACGACTATTTGCTTCGCTTTATGGAGTGGAACCTCAAAGATGAACCACTTGTTCTCCCGGCCGATAGGCAAAGAAAAAAGGCCAAGAGGGGAAGAGAGCATCGCATCCGGAGAAAGAGATAAAAGGGCCGTCAGCAGATGAGAAAACTCCTTCTGGTGGACTTCTTGAAAGCAAAACAAAAACCTGCTAAAGAAATCAACGGAAAACAGAAGTATTTCTCATCACATTACCTTGGCCATCGACATCCTTTAGAGCGCATAAGTTATGCAGGGCGTTACTTTTTTTGGGTTTGTTTTTCGTTCCCCTACACTAAAGCAGAGTTCGAGGCAATTGACGCATCGTGAGGTGCATTTGAGCGATCTTATGCAGCTGTATTTTTTTTCTTCTTTTTCCCCTTTGATAGCGTTGCTTCCTGTCCATTCTTCCCTCTTGATTCTCCACCATTGTCTTAACAAATAACGTTATTCTTATTTGATGTAATAGCTTCTTTTTTCTCCCTTCCTCAATTTACCACTACCATATTGTTCGTCCTTTATTCTCCGCTCCACGAGTCAATGTGGACTACATTGTATGGTTACACGATTGACCATCGCTGTCCTTCCTTACCCTGTCGGCTTCTATCAAAGCTGGAAAGCTTCACCACGCCAAGTTGTATAACAACATCAACGGGGCTTGAAGGGATCAACAGATGTGGTTCAGTGGTTTGACCAACCACTGTTGGCTTTATCTGTCGCTCTACAGGATGATATTTCTTATTCGATGACAACCTATATACATGAAGCGGGGGAGCTCCGTTGATAGGCCCAGGTTTAAAAAAAAAAAAAGGTACAAGAGGAGTATGCCTTGACAAGATAACTGCACTTCGTACCCTGCACCACGAACAATATGCGGAGTATTATAGCTCTGGCCCCCTTGAAAGTGCCTTTCCCCCGCTCGATCGTGTCAAATATGAGCATGTTTGTAATGTGCAACGGTGCAATCGAGCCAGGATTCCTGGGACGAATCGGTTAGAGGGCCCTGGAATGAAGGATGAAAAGATTTTACATAATAAGTATTCATAGTATAGATTAACTATTGCAAACAACTTGTGGGGGCATGACTCCGAATCGAACGAATCTTCTATCCGAACTTACTCCGTCTAGGTGGATGCGAGGATGACGAAGGACCCCAAGCGGTAGCTTGGGGATGGTGCCTATGCGTGCATGCTACATATGTATACATACATACATGCACTTTGTATGTGTAGCTTCATGGTACAAGCTCTGAAGCGACCAGAAGGAGAGATTTGAGTTCCAACCGCAGATAAATAATAATCGAAAATGGCATAAGGTTGTATCTATATCCAATGGGATATTCTTTCCTTCCCCATATTCCGACCTGGTTCATGGCCATGATTGGGGTCGGATGTCTCTTTCTGCTGCCTGACCAAACTCCACCAAGCAACAACTAGCTTCTGATTTTGTCTTGTTAATTCT